GGAAGTCAGGGGTCTCCTGCCCCTTTCCACCTGAGTGACAGATCTTAACAGACAAGTTGCCTCTAATGGACAACTCTGCCTCCCATCACAGTCACAGACCTCCTCCCCACCCATTAGTAGTGCATGGCAGGCGCAGAAATTACTTAGATAGGGAAAGCAATCAAAGGGACAGGCTGGGTGGAAAGGGACTTTTATAAGTCATTGCAATGTGTGATGGTCACAGCCAGCAAGGCGCAGTGACCCCGGGGACCGCTCATGGCTCAAAAACCCCAGCAAAGATGGTCATTAAACTCCTAAACCCTGACAGGAAAATATATACGGTGGAAGCCTTAGAGGCCCGAGCAATTGCCATAAAAAAATTAACCATCTTCCAGTGGTTTTTATTTTCCAGTAAACGCCACAGAGCTCATAGGTTTATGAGAGCCCTGAATCTCTGTGGCAAGAAATGGGGGGGGGGAGGGATGTCCACCCAGGGAGGGGGAATAACAAATGTTCTCCCTAGTGCCCAGACCAGGGAATACGGAGGCCAAGACATCGTCGTTGTGTTTCTACAAGTGCCTGGACATGATTTTCAGTTCAACAATCTGCAATGGAATAATTGTTGTTGTTGTTGTTTAGTCGTTTAGTCATGTCCGACTCCTTGTGACCCCATGGATGAGTGTACGCCAGGCACTCCTGTCTTCCACTGCCTCCCGCAGTTTGGTCAGACTCATGCTGGTAGCTTCAAGAACACTATCCAACCATCTCGTCCTCTGTCGTCCCCTTCTCCTTGTGCCCTCCATCTTTCCCAGCATCAGGGTCTTTTCCAGGGAGTCTTCTCTTATCATGAGGTGGCCAAAGTATTGGAGCCTCAGCTTCAGGATCTGTCCTTCCAGTGAGCACTCAGGGCTGATTTCCTTAAAAATAGATAGGTTTGATCTTCTTGCAGTCCATGGGACTCTCAAGAGTCTCCTCCAGCACCATAATAACTTCCTCTAATTCCGAGGTTCAGAAGTGAGTGCCGCCACATAACCAAACAGCCTCAGTCATGAATTTGTTACATGAAGATTAGCTTCGTTTTGTCAATCCCGAATCTTCCAATGTTCAGCTTCGTTGGGTGTCATCAAGTTCTCATTTTATGAGAGAGGAAGAATATCTGCCCCCAACTTAAGGAACGCTCAGATTTGTGTCTCCCCATTTCCCAACTTCTACAGTTCATAATGTTAGCACATCTGCATGCTGTTTAGCTACTGGTAGAGATAAATGATAAGTTGGATTCAGTTTGCATTTAAAAGACAAATCCATTAAATTCACACTTTCCACAACAGGTTAAAGGAAACACAGCTGTCTGTCAAAATTTGCACCTACCCAAATTTTGTGAGGCAGTTCTCCAGCCAAGCAATGTTTACAAAAATGCACAAGTCAAAGTGTGCCTAGAAATGAATATGTTAGTGAAAATAACGTGCAAAACGCATTACATGCAAAAAAATAAATGTGTTCATTATTCGAAACTGCATGCAAAGGTGTGTTTATTAGGAGAAATTCACACTAAAATGCTGGTGCATTTTCATGAAGATTTTGCTGTGTAAATGTTGAAAACTGAATTTGAGCTTGAGGGAAAAGAGAACTGGAGAGAACTGAATTGGACCACTAAAATGCTGGTGTGGACTCTTAGACACTTTTACTGTTTTCCGTGCTTAAGGTGAGGGAGTAGAGATATGTCCGAGGAAAGAAAAGCCGAATGCTCATCCTAATGGACACATTCTGTTTTTGAGGTTCAGATATGCCCTTCTAATTTCCCATCCTGCTGTTCACATAAATAGCTACTCTCTACCAGGCAGATTCCCACATTACTCGTCATATGCTCCATATCAACAAACAGCAGCACAGTACAATTTACACTACACAGAGAAGACCTGCATGGAATCTGGTTTTTTTAAAAAAATAAAGTTTGCAATGTAGCCATTTCTGCCTGGGTCTGATAGAATTTGAGCTTCCCTTTCGCCCAATGAACAATAGGAACGGACCCCCTACGTGAAGCACGCCACTATCTCTGCTCGCAGCCCCCTGGCCCCCTGCTGTTTCGCATTTATTAACTGAGAAAAAACGTGGGCAAATTGCCACCAGGACTGGTGTACTTCTGACGAGATCAGCAGGTGCCCACTGCCCTGGGAACATGCCAAGCGAGCTGAAGACTGCTGATTACCCATCAGCACCTGCTTCAGCTGTCAAAAGGTTGATTGGATGGGAATGTCTTCCAAATAAGCACCGGAACATCAATTTGCAAAACTTGCACATGAGATGGAGGAGCTGTGATGTGCAGACACGCCTGACCGGAAGTTCAAGAGCGGATGGGAGGCTTCCTAAACATGCTTGTGGGTTTCCCATATGCATGATCTGGTTGGCCACTGCAAGAAGAGAATGGTGGACTGGGTGGACCACTGGCCTGATCCAGCGGACTCTTGTTATGTTCAGGACCAGTGTTGCCATCTCACTTGCCCACCAACAAAAAATAGGCTGGAACCAGGAAATTTGAGAGTGGTAGCCATTGAGCAGGGGACGCAGGTGGCGCTGTGGGTTAAACCACAGAGCCTAGGACTTGCTGATCAGAAGGTCGGCAGTTCGAATCCCCGCAACGGGGTGAGCTCCCGTTGCTCGGTCCCTGCTCCTGCCAACCTAGCAGTTCAAAAGCACGTCAAAGTGCAAGTAGATAAATAGGTACCACTCAGGTGGGAAGGTAAACGGTGTTTCCACACGTTGCTCTGGTTCACCAGAAGCGGCTTAGTCATGCTGGCCACATGACCTGGAAGCTGTATGCCAGCTCCCTCAGCCAGTAAAGCAAGATGAGCGCCGCAACCCCAGAGTCGTTCACGACTGGACCTAATGGTCAGGGGTCCCTTTACCTTTACCTAGCCATTGAGCACATCCTTTGGGGATCCTGTCATCTTCCATTCTGTGGACATGGCCAACCTAGCGTAGATGTTGCTGAGACAGGATTGCAAACATGCTGGGAATGTGGGTTTGGGAGAGCACATCTTTGAAACTCTGTCTTGCCACGTGATGCCCAAAATCTTCCTGGTGCAGTGCATGTGGAAGGCGTTGAGGCATTGCTCCTGACGGCAAGTTGCCCACCACTCAGCGGCGTGATCAACACGCAATCCTGGTGGGTCTTCATCTTGGTATTAGATGTGAGCATCACATTCTCCCACACCCTTTTGGAGAAGTGAGCCATTGCTGTAGCTGCCTTGCCAATTTGCTTGCCCAGTTCAGCGCCAACGGAGAGGTTGCTGGTTTTGGTGGACCACAGGTAGACAAAATCTACCATCTCAATCGTCTGTTCTATGGGAAGCTTGATTCAGGCACCAAGTCCATTGGCAGATCAACTCTTTGTTACAAAGATGTAACAAACGTGCAGTTTACCACCCTGCTGTAATATATGTCTAACCAGGAAAAAACAACGATGAGGTATTTCTAATTTATTTTAAGAAATACTACTGTATTCTATACCATTCTGTGGGGCCATTCTGGTTGCAGCATTCATCCTTCTGTCTTTCTAGCCTAGTTCACTGCAGCTTAGAAAGAAGTGCTTAACTTTAGATAAATCATGGTGATGTTTTCCCCAGGAGCCCAGCAGTGGTTTTCCTTTTAGGGAATTAGCCCTGATCTCCATTTATTCCTAAACCTCATCTGTAGACGTTTTAAACAAAAAAGCTGAGCAGTTGGAATGTTCATAAACATGCCAGAGCACTGCAGAACTGAGACAATAGCTCTGGTTCTTTCAGAGACTGTACATAGTGTTCGCCCCTGGCTTTTGGCGGCTGGGGAGCAAAGTCACTTCCAGGCTGGTTATTTATCAAGCACTTATCCTGATTGGCTTGCAGCGAGTTTACACAACACCAGCTGTTTATTAAGTATCCATTCTGATTTGTTTGGGGGTTGGGGGTTTCTACAATGTTGTTTCAGTCACTATCCCATGCTCTTTGGTGTGTTTCCCCATCACTTTCCTTACCGCAGAAACTCTTTTTCTCTCTCCTTTCTTGATGTGGGCTGCAATAGTGCCAAAAAGCACTTTTAATTTCACCATGTGACTTTGTCAGTTTGAGATTGACTCCTACCTGCAAAACAATGACTTAGGTTGCAAACACGCCGTACATGTAAAGCACATTCCCCACCCCAAAGAATCCTGGGAAATGTAGTTTACCCCTCACAGAGCTAAAATTCCAACCACCCTTAACAAACTACAGTTCCCAGAATTCTTTTTTTTATTATTATTTTTATTCAGTTTCCAATACAAGATTTAAACATACATTTTCAGTATTGTCACAGATACATAATTTTGACTTCCTTCAGCTCATCCGCGAATCTTCCGTTTTCTAATCTTCTATCCGCAATTCTAAATTTAACATTGTCTTTTGTTTTAAATAAACCTATTCACTTGTTCCCTTTTTTACAGTGTTTCTAATATTATTTCTTCACAAAGCTTCCTGTAAACCCACAAACGTTATTTGTGCATCACATCAGTTCCCAGAATTCTTGTGTGTGTGCATGCGTTAAATTTGTGCTGTGTACACAGCCAGTCTGGAAGTGTCCTCAATTTATATGTGTTTTTGCAATAATTTGGGGAAACCACAATTTTTCTGAATATCAGCCCAACCCTTGCTTTCAGCTTGATGCCTTTTTAGTTTGTTTATGACCCAGAAGAAAAAGCATCCTTAAAGCTGACTGAGAGCTGACTTTTTGACTGTGCAAACACATACAAGGAAACCCTTCTGAGGCGCGAAGGAGGCACGTTCAAAAGCAAGAATCTATTTCAGTTTTCAAGAGCAACAGGAGGAAGTGGAGACAGAGATACAAACGAAGAGATACAAACGAAAGCTTTCATAGGCCAAGAGGAGCCTGTATTTATTCCACAGGCTGTAGCTGTTCTGCTGCTGCTGCTGTTTCTTGGCACTGACGTTTCCCCTCACTTGATCTTCGGACAAATGACAGGAGTGTTAAACAAGCTGCTCCAATATACACAGGCGGAAAAACTCTGTATGTAGCTCACTTGCAGATGGAGCTCCTGGCAAGCAGCACCATCATCCATGGAAGCTCCGGAAAGTAAGTGACTTTTGAGAAACGTACAATAATCTGACTCCTCTCCTTATGTTTCTGCTGTGCTGAACCTTAAAAAAAACACAAAGTATGCTAGAGATATGACCCGAGGGGGTTCTCCTTTCGATGAGATTGGTTCTGAATTTGTCATTAGGATCTAGGAACATAGGAAGCAACCTTATCCTTAGAGCCAGCATGGTGTAGTGGTTAAGAGCGGTAGACTTGTAATCTGGTGAACCGGGTTCGATTCCCCGCTCCTCCACATGCAGCTGCTGGGTGACCTTGGGCCAGTCACACTTCTCTGAAGTCTCTCAGCCTCACTCACCTCACAGAGTGTTTGTTGTGGGGGAGGAAGGGAAAGGAGATTGTTAGCCGCTTTGAGACTCCTTAGGGTAGTGATAAAGCGGGATATCAAATCCAAACTCTTCTTCTTCTTATCCTGGGTCAGATCATTGGTCCATCTAACTCAATATTGTGTGTGCTAACTGGCAATGGCTCTCCAGGGTTTCAGGCAGGTTGCCTCCTCCAGACTTACCTGGAGATGCTGGGGATTAAAGGTGAGACCTTCTGCATGAAACACAGATCCTTTGCTGCTGGGCTGCAGCCCTTCCCCGAGCAGCGTTGAAAATAAAATACTATGTTGATTGAGTGTGTTGGTGGCAAAAGAAACAGAAAAAACTCTCTTTCAATCCAAGTTGAATGTTCGTCTTAAGGAGAGAGGGGTTAGAGTTCTTGGCCTAGTACCAAGTGATGCGGGAGATGGAGTCAGGAGTCAAGGCAGTGTCTTGTGCAAGAAGGTTGCAGTGTTGCAACCTTGGGCAGTATTTTTCTACAAGGTCACAATCTCCTCCAAGGTTTATCCTTGCAGCCCTGCACACACCTGGGCAGTCCATGACTGGACCAGCTGGAGATGCTTCAGGGGCAAGATAGTTGTGGTCCAGCTACTTCTTCCAAGGTAAAAAAAGAGAAAAGGTTAAGGACCTCTGGACAGTTAAGTCCAGTCAAAGGTGACTATGACTCATCTTGCTTTCAGGCCGAGGGAGCCAGTGTTTGTCCACAGACAGCTTTCCGGGTCATGTGGCCAGCAGGACCAAACCGCTTCTGGTGCAACGGAACACCGTGACAGAAACCAGAGTGCACGGAAACGCTGTTTACCTTCCTGCTGCCTATTTATCTACTTGCACTGGTGTGCTTTCAAACTGCTAGGTTGGCAGGAGCTGGGACAGAGCAACGTGAGCTCACTCCATTGTGGGGATTCAAACCTCTGACATTCCAATCGGCAAGCCCAAGAGACTCCGTGGTTTAGCCCACAGTGCCAATCAGCCTGCTGTCACCAGGATGGAGGCTAGAGGGCAGAGGTGAATGTGTGTGGAAACTAGCCTACTGATGGAAAGATATCCTGCACATCCAGTTGTAATTTTAGACTCTGGGCTTAATGGTCTTATGGTGGAGTCCCTTTTTTAGATGATATTGCTTCACATACTTAAAAACATGGTAAGCCAGAGCTGCTGCATCAGGGCTTCTCCTGCTCCTGTAGCTGAGCAGGGCCCTGGGCTTCCATGCAAAAGACCTACTTTGGTGGTGTCACCAGATCAGAGCAACTGCCTTCTCCGTCACCAAAAGGTACAGGCTGAGCAGAGAAGTAGCAGGCCTGCAGTTCCTGAAACAACATCCATCCCTTCTCAAAGAAACAGCTGCTTCTTGACAACTAGATGCAGAACCCGAAATTTATTTCCCTGGCCAAACTGAAATTTCTTCCCCTAGCCAAATGCAAACAGTCTCTTTTGCTGTGTACATCCGCCCAGACCGAAAGCTGATTTCAGCCTCCATCCTAGGAACGGAGGAAGCTTTCTTTCTTTCTTTTTATAATAATAATTTTTATTAATTTTAACATATAGATTATAATACATACCACAAATCTTCATCATTTATACAATCTTTTTTGGACTTCCCTCAGCACTTCTGCTGATCCACTGTTTTAACCACTTCTTATGCATTTCTTAAATTCTTATTACCTTTAATTGTCATAACTAATCCTCCTCCCTTTTATCCATTTTTGCAATAATTCCAATAATACTCCTCACAAAACTTCTTGCAAGCCTACAAACATAGTCTGGTCATCACAAATACTTTTCAAATAATCTGTGAATTTACTCCAGTCTTCTGTGAATTTCTGGTCCCGCCGATTTCGAATCCTTCCTGTTAGTTTGTCCAATTCTGCATAGTCCATTAATTTCATCCTCCATTCTTCTTTCGTCGGTAATTCTTCTTGCTTCTATTTTTGGGCCAATAACATTCTTGCTGCCGTTGTTGCATATAAAAACAGTTTACAATCCTTTCTATTTATATCACTTCCTACAATGCCTAATAAGAATGCTTCTGGTTCCTTTATAAATGTATATTTCAACATTTTTTTCATCTCATTATATATCATCTCCCAGAAGCTTCTTAGGAATGGAGGAAGCTTTCAAATGCCATGTCAAAGAACAGCCCTCTCCCCTCATGGAGTCTCTGGTATTCAGAGTATATCCCTGGAGCAACTGGTATTCAGAAGCATTGCTGCATCTGACTGTGGAGACAGAACACAGTCTTTACCTCCCTGAACTTGTTTAACCCTCTTTTCAAGCCATCCAAGTGGAGTGGGGGGAATCACTGTGGTGGGAACAGGGATATTGGGGTGGGCAGGTCTGGCGCAACCACTGGGCAGAGGGAGACAACCACCTCTGGGGTCACGGCACCTCCTTGGAAGTTGCCCTCTGTTGGAGAGTGACATAAGCTAGCCAGCAGCCCTTGGGTGTGCAGGCAGATGCTGCTAGCTTATGGCCAGTGTTTGAGTCAGCTCTCAGTCCATTCACTTTCTGAACATTGGAAGGGGAGCCATCTTGTCCTTTGCCTCAGGCAGCAAAAAGTCTTGGGCCAGCTAGGAGTTGGGGCAGGGCTGTACATTATGGTTACCAGATTGTTTTTCAATGAATCCAGGGACACTTTTGTTTTATTTTGTTTTAAGTTGAGTAGCAACAGGGAGTCAGTAGTGGGGATGGTGAGGCAAAAGACCCTGGGCCCAAGCACACATGCATGTTGTATAAAGGTGCAAAGCCCTTCTTTTGCACCCTGTGAAACATAAATGCGCAGAGACTGGGCAACAGCGCGCCCCACGCCCGTGACTCCCGAGCCTTCCTCAATCTCCTTCCCCCTACCCCCCTTTGTTTTGACAGATCAGGGGAGGCTCGGGAGTCACAGGCGGGCAGCCGTTGCCCAGGAGAGGCCAACCTGGTGGCGCAGTTGGCTCTGGCTGGCTTCAGGAGCTGTTCGCTGGCATGGCGCAGGAAAAATGGCGGACGCCACAGCAGTGAGCAGCAAGTAGCTCCTGAAGCCAGCCAGAGCAAACTGCGCTACCAGGCTGGCTCCGGGCTGCTGAGGCTGCCACTGCCATGTTTCCTGGGGACAGATTTGCAAATCTGGGGACATTCCAGGGACGGATTTTGTAGGGGGCCAGTTTTGCAAATCCGGGGACTGTCCCCGGGAACTGGGGACGTCTGGTAACCTTACTGTACATGCCATGCCCGCTCCACACTTGATTCTTCCACATGCCCTGTGAATGCCTGAACAGAACTCTTTATTGCCCACCATAGAATTGTAGAGTTGGAAGGGACCGCAAGAGTCATCTAGTCCAACCCCTTGCAATACCAAATGACATCTATTGTTTGTGCCCAAGCCAATAAAGAGGACTCCATCTAGCTCACACCAATGCAGCTGAGGAAAGTACAGTCTCTTCTAGGTCCTTAAGATCTCATATCCTAAGCCCTCCTTTCCCTGCAGAAAGTAAAAAGGACACAGCATTTTTTCATGCAAAATCCACACCGCAGCTTTCTGTGGCTTTCGTGTTTGCAGACATCATGAAGCAAAAGCAGAATCAATTTCTCTGTGACTTTATGCCCTTCCTCCTCCTCCTCCTCCTCTTCTTTTAATTTGATCCAGCAATAAAACTACTCAGCCGTAGGAGTAAAAACAAAATCTAGGAAAATCGCACAGCTAAACGCTCTGTTGGCAAAGTCCGCTTCAACAGCAAAGTGTTTGGTTCTGCTTTCGGATTCCATTATGAGCTGCATAGATCCCTCATTGGTCTGAGAAGGGGCCCAGTGCTTTTGGCCTGCCAGTCTTTGCTGAAGCTTCGCCTTCTCCCTTTCTGAGCAATTCAAGTCCCTTCATTTAATTTCAATGGAAACTTTAGTGTTTTCAGCCCTGGCCGGTCTGCAGCTGAACGGCTTCTCTCTGGATCTTGTTTCCAGGTCTCGAGAGGACTGGGTTTGATCACCTCGTCTGATTACATCTTTGACAGCTTTAAAGGAATTTGCAGAAGGGGAAAGGAGAACAGCGGTGGTTCCTGTGAAGGTTTGGGAGCCGGGACTCCCAAGTTTGATGCACCTGCCGGAGACTTGAGAATACACCTTGCCCTGCAAGGAACAGGTACAAACCTCAGCCAGTGTGTGTGTGTGTGTGTGTGTGTGTGTGTGTGTGTCATTTTGTCTTTTGATAAAATAAGAAACTGCCTTACAGTGGTACCTCAGGTTAAGTACTTAATTCGTTCCAGAGCTCCGTTCTTAACCTGAAACTGTTCTTAACCTGAAGCACCACTTTAGCTAATGGGGCCTCCTGCTGCCGCCGCGCCGCCGCCGCGTGATTTCTGTTCTCATCCTGAAGCAAAGTTCTTAACCCGAGATACTATTTCTGGGTTAGCGGAGTCTGTAACCTGAAGCGCATGTAACCTGAAGCGTATGTAACCCGAGGTACCACTGTACTTGTAAATTCCCTTCTGCAACAACTTCCTGTCGGTGCAACAAGTGTCCCGCTTAGTGACTTTCACTTTGCACTATTATTTATTATTATTATTATTATTTATTAAATTCGTATACCACCCTTCATTGTCAGATATCAGGGCGATTCACGGCAACTTCACAGCATTGGATGCAACCCCATTTCCCCCCGGCGCTTTTTAAGAAGGACCCCATATTGTGAAGAAAATGTGGTACAGTTGAATAGATCACTCACATAGCCTTAAGAATATATCACCTTGCATGAAAAGCAGCAGCAGTGGTGGTTCCAGTGGTGGTGTATCAGTTTCCATGGGTGTTCAACTGATTGCATATCTGCCTTTGGAGAGATGTTCCCACACAGCCCAAACCACCAACTTTGTAGCAGCCAGCTAATATTGTGTACAGTTCTGTCCAGCTCACTTCAAATAGGATATTAATGAGTTGGAAAATATCTACATTGGCTGCCAGTATGTTTCCAAGCACAATTCAAAGTGCTGGTGCTGACCTTTAAAGCCCTAAATGGCCTCAGCCCTATATACTTCGAGGAGCGTCTCCACCCCCATCATCCAGCCCAGACACTGAGGTCCAGCTTTGAGGGCCTTCCGGTGGTTCCCTCACTACAAGAAGTGAGGTTGCAGGGAACCAAGGCAGAGGGCCTTATCGGTAGCGTCCCCCCCTGCGGAACGCCCTCCCATCAGATGTCAAGTAGATAAGACATCCGAAGGCAGCTCTGTATAGCATGGGTAGGCAAACTAAGGCCTGGGGGCCAGATCCGGCCCAATAGCTTTCTAAATCCAGTCCGCGGATGGTCCAGGAATCAGCGTGTTTTTACATGAGTAGAATGTGTCAATTTATTTAAAATGCATCTCTGGGTTATTTGTGGGGCCTGCCTGGTGTTTTTACATGAGTAGAATGTGTGCTTTTATTTAAAACGCATCTCTGGGTTATTTGTGGGGCATAGGAATTCATTGTTATTTTTTTCAATATATAGTCCGGCCCCCCACAAGGTCTGAGGGACAGTGGACCGGCCCCCTGCTGAAAAAGTTTGCTGACCCCTGCTGTATAGGAACATTTTTAATGTTTGATGTTTAACTGTGGTTTTGTAATTTACTGGAAGTCACCCAGAGCGGCTGGGGCTACCCAGTCAGATCAGCAGCATATTATTATTATTATTATTATTATTATTATTATGGCAACCGAAATGATCAAGGGGATGTAGTAACTCCCCTATGAAGGAAGGTTGCAATATTTGGGATTTTTCAGTTCAGAGAAAAGGCCTAGAAGAGGTGACATTGTAGAAATCTATAAAATTAGATGTGGCATGGGAAAAGTGGACAGAGAAAAGTCTTTCTGAAGGAGCGTCTCCACCCCCATCGTTCTGCCCGGACGCTGAGGTCCAGCGCCGAGGGCCTTCTGGTGGTTCCCTCATTGCGAGAAGCAAAGCTACAGGGAACCAGGCAGAGGGCCTTCTCGGTAGTGGCACCCGCCCTGTGGAACGCCCTCCCATCAGATGTCAAAGCGATAAACAACTACCTGACATTCAGAAGACATCTTTAGGCAAGTCGGTGGAAGAAGATTGGAAGAAATTTAAAGACTATTTACAGAAATATTGCAAAATTAATGAATGTTAGAATGATGTTGGATTGAAGTTAAGTGGTTTCTAGCTGTACAGGTACAAAAGAATATGGAAAAATTGGTTTCTAATATGTAAAAATTTAATGTTATAATATATCAAGATTAAAGATTAGGATTAAAAAGGAGGGAAAGGAATTGTTGGATTAACAAATTGAATTGGAATACAAAAGAGGGAGGTATGAGGAGGTCCGGGAAACAAGTAACTGTAAAAGAAGTGATGAAAAGATGGAATTGTTTTTAACTGTTTTTTCTTTTTTCTACTTTGTATTTTTCCTTTTTATTGTTAATCTTTTTATTAATGTGATTTTTCTTCTTTTAAAACTTTAATAAATATTATTTAAAAACAAAAACAAAAAAACAGAAGACATCTTTAGGCAGCCCTGTTCAGGGAAGTTTTTAATGTGTGACATTTTAGTGTATTTGTGGTCTCCGTGGAAGCCGCGCAGAGTGGCTGGGGAAACCCAGCCAGATGGGCGGGGTACAAATAATAAATTATTATTATTATTATTATTATTATTATTATTATTATTATTTCTCCCTCTCTCACAACACTAGAACTTGTGGACAGATAAAAGAAAGTACTTCTTCACAGTGGCGAAACTACATGCTCCACTACCGGGGGCGGAGAGCAGGCGGGGGCATGGCCGGCGTCCCAGGTTGTGGCATGCATCTGGGGGCGTGGCACGCTACCCGCAGGGGCATTGTGCGCATTCTGGGGGTGTGACACACCCCCTGGGGGGGCATGGCACCCAGCGCACGCAGGGGTAGCGCATGTCCAGGGGGGCCACTGCGATGGCACCCTACCAGAATAGTGGTGCCAGGGGCGGTGCGCTCCCTCCGCATCCCAGTTCCTCTGCCAGTGCTTCTTCACACAATACAAAGTTAAACTATGGAACTCCCTGCCACAGGAGACAGTAATGGCTACCAACCTGGGTGGCTTTAAAAGAGGATTAGGCAAATTTATGGAGGAGAGGACTATTGATGGATCCTAGCCATGATGGGATGCAGGTGGCGCTGTGGGTTAAACCACAGAGCCTAGGGCTTGCCAATCAGAAGGTCGGCAGTTCGAATCCCCGCGACGGGGTGAGCTCCCGTTGTTCAGTCCCAGCTCCTGCCAACCTAGCAGTTCGAAAGCACGTCAAAGTGCAAGTAGATAAATAGGTACCACTCCGGCGGGAAGGTAAACAGCGTTTCTGTGTACTGCTCTGGTTCTCCAGAAGCGGCTTAGTCATGCTGGCCACATGACCCGGAAGCTGTACCCCGGATCCCTCGGCCAATAAAGCGAGATGAGTGCCACAACCCCAGAGTCGGCCATGACTGGACCTAATGGTCAGGGGTCTCTTTACCTTTACCTTTAGCCATGATGGCTGTGCTCTGCTTCCATGGTTGAAGGCAGCAATGCTTCTGAATACCAGTTGCTGGAAACCACAGGAGGGGAGAGGGCTCTTGCGCTCAAAACCTGCTTGCTGGTTTCCCACAGGCAACTGTTCAGCCACTATGGGAACAGGATGCTGCACCAAATGGGCTATTGGCCTGACCCAGCCGGCCCTTCTTATGTTCTTAGGTTCTTAATCAGGTTGCAATAGGACATGATGTTTGTGGTTGTTTTACACAGCTCTGGATAATTGCACCTGACAAAGGGGAACCCCATCCTTCGCTCTTGCTGCGAAAGGAGGCTATACCCTATTATTTACCAAATGCGTCCAGAACATTAGAGCTGGAACGTTGAACAGAGGATCGGCTGACGCGTGGGAAGCTAGAGGAACAGTGGAAGCATCCTTCCTGATTAATTCATTATCAGCCCGTTTGGGGAGCCCGATACACCCGCTTCCAGTTACACCAGCACACTTTGCTGCCTGCCATTACACGATTTTGTTTTCAGATTGTACGAGATAAGGTTACTTCATTATTAATATATGCACAACCGCACGCATATATATACATAAATGTTGTATCTGTGCCGGAGCACACAGCCTCTGGAAGTGTTAATAGTTAAGATAAACTAAGTCCATTATCACTGGGAATGACTATTTCTATGACCCTATTTGCAATAAAACCAGATTCAATGATATGAGAAAATTGCTGGGTTTTGGAATAATTGAACCAGGCTGCATGAACCCGTACAAAGGCATCATTTACAAAGTACTTTGCTTGTCTCAAGTATTTATTCCTGCAGAAGGAAATGGGGGGAAGAAGAGTTCATATTGCTTATGCTGTTTTCCTCTGTTCATACTCTGTATCTATCTATCTATCTATCTATCTATCTATCTATCATCTATCTATCTACCTATCATCTATCTATCTATCTATCTATCTATCTATCTATCTATCTATATCTATCATCTATCTATCTATCTATCATCTATCTATCTATCTATCTATCTATCTATCTATCTATCATCTATCATCTATCTATCTACCTATCATCTATCTATCTATCTACCTATCTATCTATCATCTATCCACACATACACACACACACACACAAACAATGTCTACTATTAGACTTCCCATTTCCTTCCTTGGAAAGGGCAAGAGAGAAACTGTGAGCTTCTGTTGAATCACATCCCTCTTTAGAAGAGTTGGCAGTGATCGAGAAGACCTCTCGCTCACCCAACAACCTGCAAAGTGGTTTGCAGAACATTGTAAGTGCCTGTTCACGTACTATTCAGTTAAACAGTCAACATACATATATACAGCTTGTATCGAAAATATCATCTTGCCCTTATATACCCAGCAGATCGGTGCATTCTGGGCTCAGGGCAGCTAACACCAAATATAAATTACAATGAAACAACAATTGATTTTAGAATGAATTGATTTTAGAATGTATTTTAATTAATTGATTGTGAGTTTATGTAAATTGTGTTACTTTTACTGTTGTTGGCTGCTCTGAGCCCGGCTTCGGCTGGGGAGGGCGGGATATAAATAAAAATATATTATTATTATTATTATTATTATTATTTACAAAAAACAATTAAAATATGGCTTAAAATGCAGCCTCATTTTAGTAGTAGCCCATAGATCAAGACAATAAAGGGAGGAAACATCAGATATTCACCCGAGCCAGCTATCCATGCTGGTCCTACATGGGCCAGCAAAAAAGCCAAGGGAAAATTTATATACCAAATCCCATATAAAGCCAATTCTGACTAAGAACCTAGGAAACTGCCTTATAAAGAGTCCATCTTGGTCTATCTCACTCAGTATTGTCTATACTGATTGGCAGTGGTTTCCCGGGATTTTATATGGAAGTCTTTCCCAGTCGTATATTGAGATGCTGGAGACTGAACCTGGGACCATTCAGAGGCAGTGCATGTGCTCTGCCACTGAGCTTCCCCTGAACACCACCCAAAGCATCTCATTCTGCAGATGTTCAACAACTGTGCAGCTCCCAATCTATGCTTCCAGGTGTCATAAGAAAGCTGCAGAGATAGTGCAGGATAGTACGCACCCCGGAAATGATCTCTTTCAGCTTCTGCCTTCTGGAAGAACGTACAGGGTTATAAAGACTAGGACCAGCCGCCTGAGAAACAGTTTTTATCCAAATGTGATTTTGGTTTTAAACGCAGTGTAAGGTAGTCTCTATGGGAGTATATTGTATTTAATTATGGGGTATCAGAGTTTTTAGGGGGTTAACCAGGCTGGGATAACTGGGATAGCAGGCTTGCTGGTTTTTGAATGTCTGATGTAGATTTTTTTCAATTTTGTTGTTCTGTATGGGACAATGGCAATAAAGATTACCGTATCGTATATCATTTAGGTGAGTCTTATACAGAAGAGCCTCCCGCTAGTGACTTGGCCAATCTGTGCTAACTGAGTAATGTGATCCTTGCAGAAGCCATGAACCAGCAAAGTTCCCAAGACTTTCGGAAGTTCCGCAGATGTCCATTTTTTGCAGCATGAAGGCGTTCCTGCAGATTCTCCAATGCACTGTGAAGGAAAGGTAAGGTGGATTCTCGGAATACCTCTCCAAGCTGTTGCTACCAGTGTGTTCGCAGCCCACAGAAGCACTGAGCATTCTCTGGTGGCAAGAGATGGACCTCTGCTGCTATCACTACGTCCGTGGGCAGGAACTGGCTGAGAATGGTTCAGTTGCAGTGATGTGGGGCTCTAGAGTTAGGGACTTGGAGAACCTCTTGTTTGAATTTCCAAGTTACATGAACTGTTTTTTAAATGCAGGAGTGGATCTACACACAGAAGAAGAAGAAACACACTATAAATGAGTCAGAAATTAAATCGCTATAACAAAAGAACAAAACCACTATGTAAAATCACATAGAATTTTTTTTTTACTTTCCAACGCCATCTGGTGTTGCACACATCCAAAACACTGTTTTTTGACTAATATAGATGAGTCCAAAGTGCTAGTATGTAATGGACTAGTTTTGCATTGTTTATAATTTTTAGTTTTAAATTCTTGTAATTTGCCCTGGGACCTCATGGTGTTGGGAAGACATGTGAAATTTCAATAACATTCTCATACCCTCCAACACTTTGAAGCTAAAATCTGGGACGCCGTCTTCCCAGATGCCATCTTTCCATTTTTTTAAATTGCAAGAGCACGGCAGCCATTTTGGTTGTTGCAATTTCACGAGATTTCACATTGTGCTCCCTCCCCCCCCAAAAAACCCTCCTTTGTGTGTGGGAGAATCATGCCACGAAATCACACGAGATCACATCAACCAAAATGGCCTCTGTTCTCTCGCGATAAAAAAAGGGATGTCACAGTTTTTCTGGGACACTTGCAGGGTATGCATTCTAGAAACACTGAGCAAATGGCACTTATGGAGTGCCACAAATGGAGCCAGTCTGATGTAGTGGTTAAGAGTGGTAGATTTGTAATCTGGTGAACCGGGTTTGATTCCCCGCTCCTCCACATGCAGCTGCTGGGTGACCTTGGGCTAGTCACACTTCTCTGAAGTCTCTCAGCCCCACTCACCTCACAGAGTGTTTGTTGTGGGGGAGGAAGGGAAAGGAGAATGTTAGCCGCTTTGAGACTCCTTCAGGTAGTGATAAAGCGGGATATCAAATCCAAACTCTTCTTCTACTTAGGCCTAGGCCTTTAAATATATATATTTTTGTTGCAAAGGGGCTGCGGCCTACAAACATCCTTACAGAACTTCCAAAATTACAGACAAAGTTTCCATTGGTGTGCAGCTTATAAGTGACCCAGTAAGAACTTTGTCCGTGTAGCTGAGGCATTCATAACTTGGCAGTTTTATGGGAATCGAGAGCAGCATTAGACTTCTCCATCTCACCCAGCAATAAAGAGGCTTCATATCTGAAAGGCTTTTATAGGGCTTTCGTCCTGGTCTTAGGAAGAACACAAAGGGGTAGACAAATAGCCCTAGGAAAACAAAAGAATCTGCGCTTGCATGTGCTATTGACGTGGCAGGAACAATAATAATAAAAAAAACATATTTCAGCAATCATTGCTGAGCCATCTTGACTGAAAGATGTATGTTTAATGACAGCAGATCCCCAGAGTTTTACCAAAGACTTTTAAAGCAAATCCTCTGCAATAGTAAATCATGTCTCTTCCCAACTAAAATTCCATCAATAGTTTTACTGAAATATCTGTAGGAAATCCTAATGTTCAAATCCCGCTTTATTACTGTAATAATGGACCTAATTTGTAAAACAGATAAAATGTGGCCTTAACGATATTGGCATGGGAGAGATATACAATCCCTTCCCAGCTAAGTTGTTTTCTGGCTATTTTCGGGTTGCTTTTTTCCAAAAAGTAAAAACCAGGGCACCCCGAAAGTTGTTGAGCTTTTATGAAAATGCAAAAAAAAAGCAACCCACGATTTGACTTGTCTAAGTTCCAGGACAAGGCACCACCTTTCGGAAATTCCCCCAGACGCCAGTTCCGCCTTTGAAATCCAGAAGTATTGCAGCCCTGGGCTATTTTAATTTCTAGAGAAAAACGAGGACAAAGGAATGAGGGCAACCATTCTATAAGAGAGAGAGAGAGAACGCACTGTTGAAAGCAAAGTAAGGGCCCACATGGTGGGAGAACACTTGTTTTGCATGCTCTCCAACATTTTTGTCCCCCAAACTGGCACATCAGCAAAGTTGTGCCAGAGCACCTTCTGGTTAGTCACTCTGGTGTGAGTCAGAAGGGTCTAGAAAGCAATCTGGCTCACATCATCAGGATTGCACCAGAGTGCCTTCTGGTCTGGTGGTCTGGCCTGACCCCAGAATGAGCATCTTTTGGACCGAACAACAGGGTGTTCCAGGATGCAGCAGAAGCCAAGATTGACTTCTGTGATTCCGGGATGTCCCACTTAAAATGGGACAGTTAGCAGGTATGAAAAGGTCCCAGGTTAAATCCCTGGCATCTCTAGGTAGGGCTGGAAATGTTCCCTAACCAAGACCATGGACAGCTGCTGCCAGTCAGTGTAAACAATAGTGAGCTGGGTGGGCCGATGCTCTGATGCTGTATAAGACAGCTTCCTGTGTTTAAGCCGAGCTGCAATCTCTCAGAAGACATTTTTCAGAGAACACCTGAGATTTTTCTTTCTCGTCCTCCACACTCACTAGAAAAAGGAGGCTTAGGCTACTAGGCATGATGGCTATGTTCTGCCTCCAAGGTCAGGGGCAGCATACCTCTGAATGCCAGTTTCTGGAAATCACAAGTGGGGAGGGTGATGTTGCAATCAGGTCCTGCTTTCTGACTTCTCATAGGCATCTGGTCAGCCACTGTGAGAACAGGATGCTGGACTAGATGGGTCATTGGCCTGGTCCAGCAGGTTCTTCTTTTGTCTTTATGGAGTGGGTTTGGGTGTTTATATATCCATTGGTGGAGGTTGCCGTTGGAGCTCAGCTGAAACATGGAGTTGAGGTTCATGAATGTGGTCATCCCCGCTCCCCAGAAATAGCCACCCATGACAATGTTTCATGGAGGACATGAAAGTGTTTGGTGGGCAGCGGGAAGAATGTGTTTGTCTACTGCTGAGACAACTAATAATAATAATAATAATAATAATAATAATATATGCATACATTCTCCCCCACCATTGAGGACGAGAGCAAAGTATTTCATTTGCCCTCACGAGATGCCACCACATGCTCCATGCTCACTGGCTGTCTGGTCATTGCATTCACTACGCCACCCCTGAATGGCTGGGATCATAGAATGAATGTGAAAGAATATTTAACTAAGAAGACAGCTCAGTTGGTTAGAGTGTGGTGCTGATAATGCCAAGGTTGCGGGTTTGATCCCCGTATGGGACAGCTGCATATTCGGTTGGACTAGATCAGGCATGGCCAAACTTGGCCCTCCAGCTGTTTTGGGACTACAGCTCCCATCATCCCTAGCTAACAGGACCAGTGGTCAGGGATGGTGGGAATTGTAGTCCCAAAACAGCTGGAGGGCCTAGTTTGGCCATGCCTGGACTAGATGATCTTCAAGGCCCCTTCCAACTCTGCAATTCTGTGATTGTAAGAGAGCGGATTGGTTCTGGAGCAGTATACCTAAATAGTCACAAAACCTTTCCCATAAATGGTAAGTTGCGGAGTGCTGCCCCCTCAGAAACAGACATTTTGCCCCAGTAAAAAGATGGGTTCAATAATTCAATGCAGCTCTGGTTGTCGTCTGTGCGCATAGATAGATATAGATATTGTTTTTCTTTTTAGACTCACTACACCAAAAGCCCTCCTTCCATATTGAGGAAAAGATCATCCGTGAACAAAGCTCTCAGTCAGAAGCAAAAAGTAGGGAGAAGAGTTCGTTTCCAGGAACCAGAAGAAATTATTGGACGTGTTCATGGTATGCTTGATATATGACACTAACAGTTCAAAGCTGGTCTCTCTCTCATACCCTATCCCTTTGAGGTTTTATCTGCAAGCTCCAACCATCTGTTTACCTCAGAACTGTCACTGGGGCCTTTTCATTGTACCTGGAGCCACGTTGAAGACCCTCTGGAGACTTCCGGAGGCATGGTTGACTGGCATAGAAACTAATTATAAGAAATCAGTTGCTAGATTGGTCAAGGTATAAACAGAGGTTGAGAAGAAGAGTACTCTGGGAAGGCAGATGTGTGTCAAGGCTCCATTGGCTTGTGTGGAGGCCACACAAACCCAAAAAGCCTGCTCTAATTTCACAAATATTGACCTGGTTTCATATTCTTCTCTTTATGCTGCCAGAGTTAAGCGTGAAATGCACAGAGACAGAAACTGCTGGAGTGCGCTTCTGTAAGCCATGGAACCATAGCCTTGGGAGGGGACCTTGGTGTCATCCAGTCCAAGGAAGTTAGTACGACAATTTGCCTGATAGAGATGATGCAAAGCACTCTCTTCCTCTTTGGCAATCACTCGTAGCCAAGTAAGATTGTCTTCCATAAACTCGGTTTTAACAGTAAGTGACTGTGGAAGCCAATTCTGGATCCACATGTCCTTCCACAGTGGGGACATAGGTTTCCGGGTGGGAGTTGATCATGGTGAGGGTTTGCCAAACATGCCTTCCTCTTAGCATGTTTCTCCCTTTCGTCTTGAGTTTGAGCATCTTTAAAGTCCATGACACTTGGACTTTAAGGCTGTTCTCCAATTGAAGCGCTCGCAGGCCAGTGTTTCCCAGTTGTTGGTGTTTATACTACATTTTTTTAGGTTTGCCTTGAGAGAGTCTTTAAAACTCATTTGTTGACCACCAGCATTACGCTTTCTGTTTTTAAGTTGGGAATAGAGTAGTTGCTTTGGACAACATGTCCAATGAAGCTGATGTTGAAGAATCATCGCTTTGACACTGGTGATCTTTGCTTCTTCCAGTACAATGCCATTAGTTTGCTTGTCTTCCCAAGTGATGTGTTTTAATTTTTGGAGACACCATTGATGGAATCTTTCGAGGGGTTAGAGATGGCATTTATAAGTGGGCCATGTTTCACAAGCATACAGTCAGCTAAGCACTACAGCACACCTCAGCATTACGACTGGGAAGGGCCATAGCTCAGTGATAGAGCATCTGTCTTGCATGCAGATGGTCGTAGGCTGAATCCCCAGAATCTCCAGGAAGGCTGGGAATGCCTTCTGCCTGGAACCCTGGAAAGCCTTTGTCAGTCAGTGTAGACCAGGGGTCGGCACGGCTTACCAGCCATGGGCCGGATGACTCCCACGGAGATAGTTCATGGGACAGACCAGCACAGCGCAATGCCCAAAATCACATCTATGAATGTCCGCGGCACCGGAAATCACTTCTGCGCATGCCCAGATGACGGAAATCGCAGCTGCACAGAAGCGATTTTTGGCATCTGGGCATGCACAGAAGCAATTTTCCAGTATCTGCGTGTGCGTAGACGCGATTTCCAGCGCCACTCGGCAAGTCCCCGTGCACAGCTGCGCCAATTTAGCGCAGCACACGGGGGACTCACTGAGCGGGCAGCTCAGCTCAGGGGTGGCTCGGGGGCCGGTAAAACAGTCTTTGTGGGCCGCATCCGGTCCATGGGCCGCAAGTTGCTGACCCCTGGTGTAGACAATACTAACAGGATTGACTCAGTAAGGCAGCTTACTATGTAGCGACAGAACTGAGTTCAGTAGTTCCCAGCAGCAGTCATCACGCTTAGGACTGCAGCTTTTCAACCCACATTCTGCCTTCTATCATTTACACCAGCTGTTATAGAGTTATCTGGAGCCCTAAGTCCAAAATGGAAAACTCAAACCTGAAATGTTTTGGTAAGACAGGGAGGGGAGCAGGGAACAGGGTGAGGGATCCTCATTTTTTGGCTGCCAGCTCCTCCACTTGTGTGCTTCAGCGCAAACGGTCTCTGACAAATGTGATTTTGCTGTGCGTCAACACACACGCCATCAATAAGGCTCAGCTATGGATTGGGAAATGAAAGCTTTCTGGCACCAAAGACATTTTTCCATTTGCAGTACATTTCTTCCTAAATCTCAACTTGTGTGCGGTTTTTTTTATTTTTTATCAACAAATGTCATTCCAAAACACTGTTGGATGATAGATCCACAATGTAATAAGAGTTGCTTTAAAAAAAAAAAAGGAAAGCTTATTCCCCTCACTCCCACCCACATCCTAGCATTTTATTGTGTTACATTTTCTTTTGGGAAATAATACAGAGGACTGGTTCCAAAGTCCTTGTTTTCTTGCAATGGGCTATATTTCCGCAACAAGAGTAAACCCATCGACATTGCCATTCATCTTTGAGATGAAATGAACATTTACCCAAAGTATTCTCTGTTCAAGACATTCAATAAAACTCCTATCTTTCCAATCGCCGGGTATGATTATGTTTTAAAATCCTGAAATAGAGCTTTAAGATAACTACCACAAATGCATAATCTAGGATCTGAGAAATTAAATCATGTAATCTCTTTGGAGGGGAAAGGGAGGGGATTCTCAGTTCTCTGAATGTCAATATCCTTGCAAAATTTTCAATTCATGTTTTCCTGCATTTCCAATTGCAGCTGCTGTTGGTATTTTAGCATGGGGGGCGGGGGCTGCATAGGCAAGAAAATGCTATAAAAATTGTGCTGGTAGCAGAGAGGGAGGGAGAGAATAGGTTAAAGTGGGTTACAAATGGCCACTTTTTTGATCGGTTACATTGGGGGCAGGGGGCACTTTTTTGATACTCCTGGACCCCCATGAACTTGCAGCCAGTCCTATCCTACATGGTCCGTATCTAAACACTTCGATATGATGGACACAACTGGGATTTTTCCCCCAAAAAATGATGCTTTGCAAAGACCTGTGGGTGTTTGTGCAAGATGTTCCAATGAAAAAGAACATGGTTTCAGCTTGCCCACAGCACCAAAGAGCCCTCTCACCCCTATAAACTCTCAGAATGCTTTCCATTTGCAGCTATAAATACTATGACATTATTATCTGCTCCCTGTAATGTTTGCAGAAAGTTCCATTTCCTTGTTTCACCTGTCATGGCTCTTCTTGCGTGTGTGTGTGTTCTGTCTCATCACGAAGCTTCAACAGAGACGGGAGAATGTTTATCTGAGAACAGATCCCAACACACGTGTTGGAATTTCCCCTTTCACAACAGACTGTTCCGTTTAGTGGCACATCTGCTGATTGTCATCAGGGACAAAGCTGCATGTTAACTCAGCAAACTCACAGTCTGAATCCCACAGCTGCTGAGTTAATGATGGAGACGGCCGGGGGGGGGGGACGGGGACGGAAGAAGATAGGAACACGGAGAATGGTGGGTGGAAAGAGAAGAGGCTTAATAATAGGTGCCAACTCCCTGGGGCCCTGGGTGCCTGAACACCCACAAAATTCCCCATGAAGGGGCTGGGCATGCACAAATTTTGGTGCCAGGGCCATGCATGGTACCCATGGCCCAGGTACCCATGTCCCAGGGCATCCACAGTTGTGGGGGCCAAGCTGGCACTTCTGGGCTTAATCATTCCTACACCCATCTATTCTCCTCTTGCAGGACTATTTTTTCTTCCCAGGGGGGCTCAATTTTGGCTAGGGATAATTTGATACATTGCACACATACAAACAAAAAGAAGAAGAGAAAAGCAATTGGTTTCAGTTTTACAACTGATACCAGGGTTAGGTTCTAAACATCTTTACTAAAATGTAGCTTCTCTGCTGAAAATCACATACAGTGGTACCTCGGAAGTCGAACAGAATCCGTTCCGGAAGTCCGTTTGACTTCCAAAATGTTCGGAAACCAAAGCGCAGCTTCTGATTGGCTGCAGAAAGTTCCTGCAACAAATGAGAAGAAGCAGAAACCCCATCGGACATTCAGGTTCCGGAGAACATTTGGACACTGCAACACTCACTTCTGGGTTTGCGGCGTCCGGGAACCAAAACGTCCAAGTACAAAGACATTAGGGATCCAAGGTGCAACTGTACTGTCTCTTTTTCTCCTGACTATGTACAACCGATTGTGTACAGCTCTGTGTTGCAAGTGACCTCATTTACATTTACAAACACTGGCAAGGCACTCAGATTACATCTCTTCCCACTGTCTTAAGGTTTAACTCGTGACCAAGTCAGGAGAAGAGTCCCGAGCTGACTTAATACACCCTATGGAAAAGTAATAGCTATATGTCTAAAGCTTTCTTTTACAACAACTTCTAAAAATAATATTTTATGTAAATTAAACTTATAGCTTCAACACACTTGGATTCATTGTTGCTTCTTGAGGCTTAGGTAGCCTTTGTACCGCAGAGTGCCTTCCATCAGCTTTGACTGGTGGTCCAGTGACGCCCCTATCTGGACAAGGAGGGCCTAACATCTGTTGTCTCTGCTCTGGTAACCTCCAGGCTATATGACTGCAACGTATTATATGTGGGGCTGCCTCAGAAGATTGTTCAGAAACTTCAGTTGGTGCATAATTGGGTGGCCAGGTTGCTCACCAGGGTAAAACTCACCAGCATCTTACACCAATCCTGACCTGACTGCACTTGCTGCCAATTAGTTTCTGGGCCCAATTCAAAGTGTTGACTTTGACCTATTAAGCTCTAAAAAGCTCAGGGCCTCAATACGTCAAGGATTGCTTCTCCTCATAAGAACTGACCAAGACCCTGCAATATCATCTACAGTGGTACCTCTCAAGACGAATGCCTCGCAAGACGAAAAACTCGCAAGACGAAAGAGTTTTTCGTTTTTTGAGTTGCTTTGCAAGACGAATTTCCCTATGGGCTTGCTTCGCAAGACGAAAACACCTTGCGAGTTTGTTTCCTTTTTCTTAAAACCGTTAATACTGTTAAAACCGTGCTTCGCAAGACGAAAAATTCGCAAGACGAAAAAACTCGCAGAACGAATTAATCTTGTCTTGCGAGGCACCACTGTAAGGCCCTTATTTGTGTGCCCTCTCCATGAGAGGGGACGCGGGTGGCACTGTGAGTTAAACCACAGAGCCTAGGACTTGCCAATCAGAAGATCGGTGGTTCGAATCCCCACGACGGGGTGAGCTCCCGTTGCTCGGTCTCTGCTCCTGCCAACCTAGCAGTTCGAAAGAACGTCAAAGTGCAAGTAGATAAATAGGTACCGCTCCGGCGGGAAGGTAAATGGCGTTTCCGTGCGCTGCTCTGGTTTGCCAGAAGCGGCTTAGTCATGCTGGCCACATGACCTGGAAGCTGTACGCCGGCTCCCTCGGCGAATAAAGCTAGATGAGTGCTGCAACCCCAGAGTCGGCCAGGGGTCCCTTTACCTTTACCTACCTCCATGAGAGGTCTGGAGGGCAGCAACATGAGAACGGGCTTTTTCTTTGGTGGCTCCCTGATTGTTGAATGCTCTCCCCAGGGAGGCTTGCCTGTCACCTTTATTACATATATTTAGGCACCAGGCAAGAACATTCCTCTATAACCAGTCCTTTAGATTTCTCTGTTGAACATAGGGATATCCTAAGGAGAAGCAGGACATTCTGGGATCAAACGATAAACCAGGATGTCTTCTGTTAATCCGGGGCTGTCCGTAGAAAATAGGGACGCTTGAAAGGTCTGCATCTAGTCCAAACCCTTGCAATGAAGGAATCTTAGCTAAAGCTATGGCCTTTTAAATGTGTTTTTTTGGGGGGGGGTATTGGTTTGTTTTTGTATTTTGTGTTCTCGTTTTCTATCTTTGTGCTGTAAATCACCCTGTGACCTTCAGACAAAGGGCAGTATACAAACATCATCATCATCATCATCATCATCATCATCATTGCATGTGTTGCTCCACCCACTTATGACCCCAAAAATTCCACCCGGACACCATTTTGGACGGACGAATTTGGACATATGACTGCCCTCCCCAACCTGATGTATAGGAAGAAAATGGAATCAGTTGAACCAGCTTTAATTATTTTCTCAGTGAAAATCCAGTTCATTATTTTTGCAAGTGAGCTGTGTAAAATCTGCATTTGCCTTTTAACTGAGCAATTTCCAACCTGCAGCTAGGTCCTCTACCGAATTTGCCCTTTTTTATTAGTCCAAAGAGGTTCCTTCTTTGCAGTGCTAATAATACATCCCTTTCATTCTGTTTTCTATCTAGACATTTCCTGCTGTGACTACATAGTTGGTAAGTTGAAATCTCTAACATGTTCACCGTGGGCCATTTGTGGAACTGACTGATGATGGCTTGCTGCTTGGATTATTAATAGCCTAGGTTTGCAAAAGGAATAAAACATTAGCTGAGAGTAGCAATTCACATTAGATCTCCTTCGACATACTTCATCTACAATATGGGGGTGATAATAGTGAGCTCCTTTACACTGCTGCTTTAAAAAACACAGCTAGGGGTGGGTTGCTTTAAAAGAGGACTGGACAAAATTGGGGAGGGTAGAGTTATCAATGGCTACTAGCAATGAGGTCTGTGCTCTGCCTCCAAAGTCAGAGGCAGCGATATTTGGGAATACCAGTTGCTGGAAACCACAGGAAGGGAGAATGATCTTGTGCTCAGGTCCTGCTTGTACGTTTTCCATGAGCTTCTGTTTGGCCACTGTGAGAACGCGATGCTGGACTAGATGGCCCATTGGACTGATTCAACAGGCTCATTTTAAGTTTTTAACCTCCAGCAGCAAGCTAATCTCTCTCTCTCTCTCTCTAATTTTTATTAGTTTTTTTAACGTATCATTTTCAACAATAATTAAACATACCGTATTTTTCGCCCCATAGGGCGCACCGGCCCATAGGGCGCACCTAGTTTTTTTGGGGGGGGGAATAAAGAAAAAATATACATTTCCCCCCCAGGCGCGGGGCTGGGGCAGGGGAAGCCCGAGCTTCCCCCGACCCCAGCCCCCAGAACAGGCTGCTATCCGCAAGCCTAGGGAGCCCGGCAGGAAGTCGCGCCGGTCTCCCCAGGCTTGCGGAGAGCTGCGCGAAGCCTGGGGCGCACTGCTCAGCGCGCCCCAGGCTTCGGGATGCAGGCAGCTCTCCGCAAGCCGTGGGAAGTCGCGCCGGTCTCCCACGGCTTGCGGAGAGCTGCCAAAAGCCCAGGGCGCGCTCTGCTGCGCTCCCTGGGTTTCGGGCTGTAGGCTGCTGTGCGCAAGCCTTGGGAGTCCCGTGGGAACTCCCGCAGGGCTCCCAAGGCTTGCGGAAAGCTGCCCGAAGTCCGGGGTGTGCAGCGCTGCGCTCCCTGGGCTTTGGGCAGCAGGCTGCTGTGCGCAAGCCTTGGGAGCCCTGCGGGACCTCCCGCGGGCTCCCCAGGCTTGAGGATAGCTTCCTGAAGCCTGGAGAGCGAGAGGGGTCGGTGCGCACCGACCACTCTCACTCTCCAGGCTTCAGCGAAAGCCTGCATTCGCCCCATAGGATGCACACACATTTCCCCTTCATTTTTGGAGGGGGAAAAGTGTGTCTTTTAGGGCGAAAAATACGGTACTTTTACATCTTATTCAAATTTTTGACTTCCATCAATCCTGTCTGAAAATTTTCCAATCTAATCTCTCAGTATGCATTTCTTATCTTCCCTGTTACATTTCAAACTCATAACCATTATCTCTATCTTTTTCTACTTTGTAACACTTTGTATATTTCTCCTTACAAAACGTCTTGTAGTCCTACTAGCGTAATTTGTTGATTACAGTTGCTCTTCAAATAATTCATATACTTCTTCCAATCTTCTGTAAATCTCTGGTCCTGCAGGTTTCGAATCCTTCCTGTCATTTTGTCCAATTCTGCATAGTCCATTAATTTCGTCTGCCATTCTTCTTTCGTCGGAATTTCTTCTTGTTTCCATTTCTGGGCTAGCAATACTCTTGCCGCAGTTGTTGCATATAAAAACAATTTAACATCTTACCTATTAATGTCCTGACCTCTAATACCAAGTAAAAATGCTTCTGGTTTTTTAAAAAATGTATATTTCAACATCTTTTTCATATCATTATATATCATTTCCCAGAAGTTCTTTACTTTTTTACATTCCCACCACATATGATAAAATGTTCCTTCTCTTTCTTTACATTTTCAACATTTATTATTTGTCTTATACATTTTAGCTAATTTCACTGGTGTAATATACAGTGGTGCCCCGCAAGACGAATGCCTCGCAAGACGAAAAACCCGCTAGACGAAAGGGTTTTCCGTTTTTCGATGCGCTTCGCAAGACGAATTTCCCTATGGGCTTGCTTCGCAAGACGAAAACATCTTGCGAGTCTTGCGATTTTTTTTGCTTTCCCCCCCCCCTTTTTCTAAGCCGCTAATAGCCTTTTAGCCGCTAAGCCGCTAAGCCTTTAATAGCCGCTAAACCGCTAAACCGCTAATAGCGCTAATCCACTAAGCCGCTAATAGGGTTGCTTCGCAAGACGAAAAAACCGCTAGACGAAGAGACTCACGGAACGGATTATTTTCGTCTTGCGAGGCACCACTGTACCATCTGACAGCAAGCTAATCTCAGGCCATACTGGGTTGGTCCAATTTGGCCCATGAGGCCATTTTCCCCCAACCACAACCACCTGTCAAGCAGCTGACATCACTTCTGGTGCCCTCCAGATGTTGCTGGACTACAACTCCCAGCATCCCTGTCCACTGGTCATTGTCAGGAGCAAGCCGGCAGTAAATCACACTGTGCAAGTTGAAGTTAAGTCTTTATTAGCAAGAACATGATCTGCACAGACTTGGCAGAGTGTCAGGCCCAATGAACACAACAGTTCACCCCCAGTAGGTCTTGCCCCATGGATCAGTTGCCAAGACTGAAAGTCCCTGCCTCTCTAGGTCTTTCCCAAGCAATCAGAGACTGCGCCTGTGTGAACCAGCCTCCCCTCCGCCCTTTTCATGCCTCTTCTGGTTCTGGGAGACAAGCTGGGAGGGGAGCTTGTTGCAGCAGCAGGGGGAGACCCTCGTGACTTTTCACCAGCCCAACTCAACTCTGCCTCTTGTCCCTCCTACTTCTGCCTCTGATTCTGGACTTCCCTCTGCCTCGGGCTCTCCCAGTTCACTAAGCCCTCTTCACCTTCTCCTCCCAGTCTTCTCCCTTTTCTCCCTCTGGCCACTCATCGTCATTACACCACCAATCTCCAGGCTCTGAGCCTTCTTCCCTTGGTGGTTTCCCAGCTGGTTCCTTCCACCATTCCTCTGTGTCCAACCAGTTCATGACAGTCATGCTAGAATTCAGCGGTTCTCAACCTGTGGGTCCCCAGATGTTGTTGGACTACAACTCCCATCATCGCTGAGCTCTGGCCTTGCTAGCTAGGGGTGATGGGAGTTGTAGTTCAACAACATCTGGGGACCCACAGGTTGAGAAAGGCTGTGCTAGATGGAAGTGATGGGAGTTGCAGTCCAGCAACATCTGGGGGGGCACTTGATTGGCTACCCAAGTCCTCATGTGCCCTATAGCACTTCCCCATAGCTTTGCACCTTAAGGGACAGATGGTCATGCTGGGCACCCTGTTTTTTAGAGTTCATCATTAATTACCACCCTGATAGGCTTCAAAATAACTGTTCCCAGGACACAGTTTGAGCAACCCCAGCTCCAGCATTGAGAATGGAGCAGTTTTCTGTGTCCAAAAGCAATTTCACACTGTATGTTTCAGATGCTATCTACTACAGTGTGTGATATATATATATATATATATATATATATATATATATATATATATATATATATTCAGTCTACAAGTGCAATAACATTTGAATCAGTCCCTCACAGGAAGGAGTTAGCGAGCGAGCCACAGGCTGACATTTATTCACAGAAAGCACAAAGAGAGTAATTTTAAATAGCAATCGATTTAACAAAGAAAATGGAAGCCTGTTCAGAGATAATTTGCAAGCGGAAAGGAGGGCTTCGTTCGAGATGAATAAATCATTTGCTGCAAATAGTTCCCCCCGACTCTATTAGAGAACATTGATTCGCTTTCTTGGGTTCTTTAAAATGATTTGCTCTTAGCATTCTGCCTTCCCCCCAAACACACACACTTTTTGATACATTATTATGGGTTGGGTTGCCTGCCTTTATGACTTCTACTTTCCTCCCTGTACCTCAGCATGACAGCTTAATTGTTTACCATGAATTCTGGGACTAGTAATAGCAGCTAATTTAAATAGGCCAGAGCAAATAGTGGACCTTTACCCATAACGATACAGACCACAGCGGCATTTATATATATATTTAATCTTAACCATACTGGCTGCGCTCATATACCAGGCAAATGGTTACACTCTGTACAGAATTATTATTATTTTTTTAAAAAAATGCTTATGATCCGATGCATAGATCAGGCGTTCGGTAGCACTTTCCATATCAAAGCAGCTTTATAAAAGAAGACTGTTGTTATAAAGTAATGGCAATGCAACTTACATAAAAATTGCCACGCTGGGTCAGAGCGATGTTCTGTCTCACTCAGCAGCTTGTCAGTAGATATTGGTATGACAGTGTGTCTCACACAGGATCGTCAAGAGGGCATATAAGAACAGGGGGAGCTGCCTTCTGCCAAGTCAAACTGTTGGTCCATTGAGCTCAGTCTACACTGACTGGAGACGTGGGTGGCGCTGTGGTCTAAACCATGGAGCCTCTTGCGCTTGCCAATCAGAAGGTCAGCGGTTCGAATCCCCGCAACGGGGTGAGCTCCCATTGCTCTGCCCCAGCTCCTGCCAACCTCGCAGTTTGAAAGCACGTCAAAGTTGTTGTTGTTGTTTAGTCGTTTAGTCGTGTCCGACTCTTCATGACCCCATGGACCAGAGCACGCCAGGCACTTCTGTCTTCCACTGCCTCCCGCAGTTTGGTCAGACTCATGCTGGTAGCTTCGAAAACACTGTCCAACCATCTTGTCCTCTGTTGTCCCCTTCTCCTTGTGCCCTCCATCTTTCCCAACACCAGGGTCTTTCCAGGGAGTCTTCTCTTCTCATGAGGTGACCAAAGTATTGGAGCCTCAGCTTCAGGATCTGTCCTTCCAGTGAGCACTCAGGGCTGATTTCCTTCAGAATGGATAGGTTTGATTTTCTTGCAGCCCATGGGACTCTCAAGAGTCTCCTCCAGCACCATAATTCAAAAGCATCAATTCTTCAGCGATCAGCCTTCTTTATGGTCCAGCTCTCACTTCCATACATCACTACTGAGAAAACCATGGTTTGAACTATACGGACCTTTGTTGGCAAGGTGATGTCTCTGCTTTTTAAGATGCTGTCTAGGTTTGCCATCGCCTTTCTCCCAAGGAGCAGTCGTCTTTTAATTTCGTGACTGCTTTCACTATCTGCAGTGATCATGGAGCCCAAGAATGTAAAATCTCTCACTGCTTCCGTTTCTTCCCCTTCTATTTGCCAGGAGGTGATGGGCCCAGTGGCCATGATCTTCGTTTTTTGATGTTGAGCTTCAGACCATATTTTGCGCTCTCCTCTTTCACCCTCATTAAAAGGTTCTTTAATTCCTCCTCACTTTCTGCCATCAAGGTTGTGTCATCTGCATATCTAAGGTTGTTGATATTTCTATTTTTGCACGTCAAAGTACAAGTAGATAAACAGGTACCGCTGCGGCGGGAAGGTAAACAACGTTTCTGTGCGCTCTGGTTTCCATCACGGTGCGCTCTGGTTTCCATCACGTTGTGCCAGTATCAGTTTATTCCTGCTGGGCGCATGACCCAGAAAGTTGTCTGTGGACAAACGCTGGCTCCCTTGGCCTGAAAGCGAGATGAGTGCCGTAACCCCCTAGTTGCCTTTGACTGGACTTAACCATCCAGGGGTCCTTTACCTTTACTCTTTTTTTTTTTTTTTTTTACACTGACTGGCAGTGCTTTTCCAGAATTGTAGAACATAAGAAGAAACTACAGTGGTACCTCGGGTTAAGTACTTAATTCATTCCGGAGGTCCGTTCTTAACCTGAAACTGTTCTTAACCTGAAGCACCACTTTAGCTAATGGGGCCTCCTGCTGCTGCCGTGCCGCTGGAGCACAATTTCTGTTTTCATCCTGAAGCAAAGTTCTTAACCTGAAGGACTATTTCTGGGTTAGCGGAGTCTGTAACCTGAAGCGTATGTAACCTGAAGCGTATGTAACCCGAGGTACCACTGTAATCTAGTGGATCAGACCAATGGCCCATCTAGTCCAGCATCCTGTTCTCACAATGGCCATAGGAAGCCGCCAAGCAGGACACAAGTACAAGAACCAGCAAATGGCCTTACTGAAGATGCCAGAGGTGAGTCAAGGACCAACTCTCTGCAAAGCACATGATCTGCCATTTAGCTCTGCCCCTTCCTGTGCCTTTAACACCATTTCATTTTGTTTTCATTTTTTCATTTCACTTTTTATTTGCATACCACAGATCCTCCAAGTGTCCCTATTTTCCAAGGACTTCCCTGATCTAGAGAAGCCGTCCCAGTTTCTGATTTGATCCCGGAATGTCCCACTTTTCCTTAGGATTTCTCTATTTTCATTGGAGAAATGTTGGAGGGTATGGAGTTATTTGAACCCCCAAGTCAGGGGTCAGCAAACTTTTTCAGCAGGGGGCCGGCTCACTGTCCCTCAGGCCTTGTGTGGAGCCAGACTATGTTGTTTTTTTTTGAGGGGGTGAACGAATTCCTATGCCCCACAAATAACAGAGCAAGGCAGGTCTCTGTCTCTCTAGCTTCCAGCGTCACCCCACATCCACTCACACGCACAACCTTCTTTGGCCTATTGCTCTCCATCCCAGGATGACATGGCACCCAGCCAGGTGAGGTGGCAAAAGGCCTACCTATTTGTCTCTATGGAAACGTAGCTCACCCTTGGAGATGCTCACCCTTGGAGTCTCCTTCTTTGGAGGTCTTTAAGCAGAGGCTTGACAACCATATGTCAGGAGTGCTCTGGTGGTGTTTCCTGCTTGGCAGGGGGTTGGACTCAATGGCCCTTGTGGTCTCTTCCAACTCTATGATTCTATGATTCTATGCTGATGAGAGCACTTCACCAGCCAGCTAAGACAAGGCCATTACCCAACAAAGAGACTTTTCTGACAGCTGCTTCTGCTAAATTCCAAACTTCACTAGATGTGCAACCACAGGCCTGGAAAGGACCCATGTATAGCATCCAGGCTAACCTCCACACAGCCTATAATGATAAACAGCTACCTTGTACCACTGGTTCACCCACTTTAGCATTGTCTGTACTGACCAGCAGTGTCTTCACAGACAAGATGTCACTCCATGTGTTGCTGCATTGCAGCTTCCATCATCCCTGCCGATCAGCCAAGCTGGGTGGGGCTGATAGGAGCTGGAGTCAATCATCATCTGGAAGGTGAGCATCAGAATTGGCTGGTCCTACTGTTAAAATTCCTGCTCTATGATTGTAGTCATAGAGTTGTTGTCTTTCACATGACAGTATATGTTTTGACTCCACAGAGTGGGAAGTGATGGAGACAGGATGCTTGTGTTACTGTGCTCCGTGAAGTGGGACTATTGTCCTTTGTTCTTTTTCTCTCTGCTGTCTGATGCTAGAGAGAGAGGGAGCCATGTTGCAGTGCTCCATGTGTGTTTATATGTAAATAAAGTAGATTAGCCAAAATGCTGAGTTGCTGAGGTCTGTCACGCGCATGATGCACAAACTCTGCGGATCCCTAAGTGTGCCCGTCGCTGTGATGTTCGGGCTGAAGAAAGCTTTTGAAGCTCCCGAACAATCGGCCAGGAGGGAGGGAACCTGCCAGTCGGGCATGTGTCTCTGCCAGGGTCCTACTCGAGTGTAAGCTGAACTCCTGACACCTACAACAGTGGTCAAGGATCTGGAAACCGTGCCATATGAGGAATGGTTGAGGGAGTTGGGTAGCTTTAGCCAGGAGAAGAGGAGACCAAGAGGAGATATGATGGTCATCTTCTAGTATCTCAAGGGCTGTCACATGGAAGAGGGAACAACAAGCTTGTTTTCTCCTTCTTCAGAGGGTAGGACTCGATCCAATGAATTCAAGTTGCAAGAAAGGAGATTCCTGCTAAACATCAGGAAGAACTTTCTGAGGGTAAGAGCTGTTCAACAGGGAAACAGACTCCCTTAGGAGGTGATGGACTCTCCATCCTTGGAGGTTTATAAGCAGAGGTTGGGTGGCCATCTGTCAGGGGTGGTTGAGATTCCTGCATTGCAGGGGGTTGGACTAGATGACCCTCGGGGTCCCTTCCAACTCTACAATTCTGTGATTCTACGAGAGTATCGAGACTAGTGGTATCCTCCCCAAAGGCTTCACAGAAAACTTAAATAAAATAGGAATGCAAATGAAAACATTGTAAATGCCATTAAATACCAAAATTAATACAAATTAAGATGAACGCTTATGACACACGCACAAGCATTTCATTAAAAGAAAGAGAAAGCCTTCCTAAATCAGCCTGTGAAAATTAAAACATGGTGAATGTTTACTCAGATGATAATTTTAAGCCCGCTTGTATTTTATGCCGCACCGAGTGCGCAACTAACTCTCTCTTTTTTCCAATTTGAAAGGACTGGATATAAAAGGCTCATGTTACAGGCAGAAGCCACGGAATCTCGTTTCTTTATAAGCTGCCAATGAGCATTAAATAATTTGCCAGAGCTGCCTAGCGTTCAGAAGTATTTAAGTGCTCACGTTTTTTTGCTGAAAGGGGTTTTGTTTTTTAAAAGATGTCAGCGAGGGTATCCAAGTGCATGCATTAATTATGGTAATCCTGTTCTTGTTGTATATAATCAAATCCTTTCAACGCTCCATTAGATTTCATCATTGTTATTCAGTCTCCTTTCGGAGGGAGGTGTGTGTTGTTGCTATTTGAGCTAGGCGTGCCAAAGAGCTGTATTCGAGGGCAGGAGGCCAGAGGAACACATGCAGTGGGCAGAGACAGGCCTGGGAATTGCTGCCAAACAGCTGCAAAGAGGCAGAGCGAGGGCTGCTTTAAAACAAATCCTAGGCAAGCACAGGAGGTGTGGGGCGAGAGCCACATATCTATGTGCAGATCAATGCTCCTCCTCTCTCTCTATCCAGCTTCCTGTGTTGCCTTAATACTGTTCAAGGAGCAGGCCTCCTGCCTGCCTGAAAAGCTGAGGTGTAGGGATAGGTTGGGCTCCATGATCATTGCAGATGGTGACAGCAACCCCGAAATTAAAAGACGCCTGCTTCTTGGGAGAAAAGCAATGACAAACCTAGACAACATCTTAAAAAGCAGAGACATCACCTTGCCAACAAAGGTCCGTATTGTTAAACCTATGGTTTTCCCAGTAGTGATGTATGGAAGTGAGAGCTGGACCATCAAGAAGGCTGACTGCCGAAGAATTGATGCTTTTGGATTATGGTGCTGGAGGAGACTCTTGAGAGTCCCATGGACTGCAAGAAGATCAAACGCATCCATTCTGAAGGAAATCAGCCCTGAGTGCTCACTGGAAGGAAAGATCCTCAAGCTGAGGCTCCAATACTTTGGCCACCTCATGAGAAGAGAAGACTCCCTGGAAAAGACCCTGATGTTGGGAAAGATTGAGGGCCCAAGGAGAAAGGGACAACAGAGGATGAGATGGTTGGACAGTGTTCTCAAAGCTACCAGCATGAGTTTGACCAAACTACGGGAGGCAGTGGAAGACAGGAGTGCCTGGCGTGCTCTGGTCCATGAGGTCATGAAGAGTCGGACACGACTAAACGACTAAACAACAACAACAACAGGGATAGGTTGTTGTTTTTTTAGTTATCCAAAATCCAATTATTATTTTTATTTATTTAATTTTTAATTTTTTACCAGCAACCAAACACAAACAGTGAACTACCAGGCGGCTGATACCATTAGGTATACATAATCAATAATAACATATTCAAATCAACCATATGCACAATTTTATATACGTTAACACTCCTCCCTCCACAGGGTTTGTTTAACTTTTAACATTTTAATTGCCCCAAATTGTTCTAACATACCCAAATAATTCAGTTTCTCAAACCAATCCTCGTCTTTCTGACTGATCTTAAACCCTTTCATTCTGTGTATCTTCACAGTTAGATATTGTAAAATTATGATATTATTCAGTTTTTTCCTCCATTGGTTCACCCCTAGCTCTTCTGCATTTTTCCAGTTACTCGCTATAACCTGTCTGGCTGCAGTTACCATCAATTTTACCCATTTACATTCCTCTTTTGTTTTTAACTCGGTGCTACTCAGACTAATAAGAACCATTAATTTAGATATTCCCACCTTCCTACCCACAATTCCCGATATTTTCTATACCAGTCTGTTTCCAAAATTCATTAACTAATGGACAATCCCACCACATATGACTGTATGTTCCCATCACTCCACATTTCCTCCAACAATTCTTACTTCCAGATTTTGTAATATGATACAGTGGTACCTCGGGTTAAGTACTTAATTCGTTCCGGAGGTCCGTACTTAACCTGAAACTGTTCTTAACCTGAAGCACCACTTTAGCTAATGGGGCCTCCTGCTGCCGGAGCACGATTTCTGTTCTCATCCTGAAGCAAAGTTCTTAACCTGAAGCACTATTTCTGGGTTAGCGGAGTCTGTAACCTGAAGCGTATGTAACCTTAAGTGTATGTAACCCGAGGTACCACTGTATAACCTTACAGGTGTATAATACCATTTTTGTACCAAGGTGTAGGAATAGTTAAACCATGGAATTCACTAGCACAAGAGGCAGAGATGGCCACCAACTGGGATGGCTTTAAAAGAATAGGCAAAATTCATGGAGGAGAGGGCTATGGATGGCTCCCAGACCTGATGGCTCGGCTCTGCCTCCACAGTAGGAGGCAGTAATGCTTCTGAATACCAGCTGCTAGAAATCGCAGGAGAGGAGAGTGCTCTTGTGCTCAGAGCCTGCTCATGGGTTTCCAACGGCCGTCTGGTTGGCTTCTGTGAGAAAAGGATGCTACACTGGACAGGCCATTGGCTTGATCCATGAGGCTCTTCTTAGATTCTTATAATAATAATAATACATTTTTATTTATACCCTGCCCTTCCCAGTTCAGAAAACCGGGCTCAGGGCGGCTAACAACAAATTTAAAACACTTAATTGATGCAACAAAAAAACCAGCATAAAATACAGTATAAAACGTGAATAACAATAAATTCAGAATTCAAAAATCAATTTGGGGGGAAATCCATCCAATAAACATTAGATGATTACCAGGGCTAGCTGGCTAAATGAGTCCTATTTGGGCCAGCAAGGAGACCAGGGGATAATTAGCTGTGGGATCCCAGAGCGGGTAATCTTCATAAAAAGGGGAAGGGGAGGGAATCTGCCAATTCAGAATTCAATTCAGAATTCAGATTCATTTCTAAATTCAATTCAGAATTCAGATTCATTTCAGAATTCAATTCAGAATTCAGATTCATTTCTGAATTCAATTCAGAATTCAGATTTAATTCTGAATCTGTCAATTTTGGCCTCTCTCAATTTCTCGTTTTTCCCTCGTTTCGGGTTTGTATTAATGTAAAACCAAAAGTACAAAGAGGAAAGAATAGAATCAAAGTTAAGAAATAAAGGAACTGTAAGAGCTAAAATGGAACCCAACCCCCTGCAATGCAGGAATCTCAACTAAGGCATCTATGACAGATGGCCATCCAACCTCTGCTTAAAAACCTCCATGGAAGGAGAGTCCACAACCTCCAGAGGAAGTCCGTTCCTCTGTCGAACTGCTCCTACTGTCAGAAAGCTCTTCCTGGTATATAGCTGGAATCTCCTTTCTTGTGACTTGAAGCCATTCATTCAGGTTCTAGCCTCCAGAACAGCAAAAAAGCAAGCTTGCTCCATCTTTCATGTGAAAGCCCTTGAGATATTTGAAAATTGCTCTCATCTTATCCAGGCTAAACATACCCAGCTCTCTCAACCATTCATCCTAAGGAGCACAACAGAGGTTGTATTTTCCAAATAAATAAGAGAGCAGGTAATGTTGTAAAAGAATAAAACACATCACGGCAGCCAAATCTTTATTTGGTGGGATAAGAGTGTGGTATATCTGAATTCAAGACACAACAAATGAAATCCCACCAAAAGGCGTAGAAATGTTCAAGGTCTTCCTTACCTTATAAAACGCATTATTTGTGCATTATTTTCTCTGCAATAGCCAGAGTCAACACATTATTGTACCACAAAGAGATGTTTTAAGTCCCGTAGTGTCTTGGTTTCTTATTTTGCAGTCTTTATCATAAAATGCTCTACACATCAGTTTGTGACTGTAAAAAACAAAAGGCCTTGTGAAAATTCATCACCATTTTAATGCTAATTTTAAATGCTAAAATTAAACAGTGCTTTGGCCCTAATATACCGGTACATTATTGCATGCAGAAAAACTTGGAAAACCAATACAACCCAGGTGATTAGGAAGGCCCAACAGAGACTCCATTTCCTCAGGGTCTTGCGAAAGAACAATGTCAAACAAAAATTGATGATCTCCTTCTACCAGGCCTTTCATACTGTACATATTGTTCATACAGGGTGGTACGCAGGTTTGACAGCCACGGACAGGAAGTCCCTACAGAGGGTGGTGAATACAGCACATGATACCATGGGCTGTCCTCAGAGTTCACTAGATAACATCGCAGGAGACCACTGCCTCAGGAGAGCAAGGAAAATTCTTAGGGACAACTCATACCCTGGCCAGCACTTCTTTAAGCTCCTACCTTTGGGCAGGAGATACAGAAGTATAGTCAGCCCCGCCAACAGGTTAAAGAAAAGTTTTTATCCAGAGAAGAGGATGTTGCTGAATCTTGGGCGCCAGAGATGGAGGGAGCTGTGGCCCTGCAGGAACATGAGCTTTTGGATTTGACAAATGAACTTGGAAAAAGCCAGATTTGGAAAGATAAGGTTTGGACTGGTTTGGAAATGGGGGGTTGGATAGACCCCCCTATGCAGGGATGTTTGGACTTTCCAAGTCTGGCAATGGGCCGTGAGATGTTTGGGGCTGTGGGGGCTCTTAATTTTGGAGGGATTCTGAAACATGTTTTTAAATACCACATGGAGTTTAGTCTGGACTTTGGAAAAGGGGCTGATTTGTTGAAAAGGGTCAAAAACATTACCAAGCTGGAGTTCCCACGAGTGAAAGGAGAATATGAAGAAGAGCTGCGGAAGGGACATGGAAGAGACTTAGGGGCCTCGGATATAAGGTTACCAGGTTAATGCGCTAGATCGATGGGATAATAAGGACTGACAAAACCCGGGACCAGGAGGAAGGGACGCTGGATGAAGATTGGATTGTTTTTATTTCTTTCTTTTTATTACTAGGATTGTTTTATAAAATTGATGAATGTTAGAAAAATGTTGGAACGAAATTACTTGGCTCTAGCAAAAATGTCTAAAGAATTAGGTAAGAATATTATGGTTATGAGAAGTTGGTAAAAATAAGATTTAAGTTTTAAGTTTTAAGGTTTTCTATAAGATAAGATGAAAATAGATTAAGGTAATGTAATGACAGAATATTATGAAATATGGAAAGGATTTGCTGCGATAATTAATAACTAGGATACAAAAAAAGGGAGGAGGAGGAGGTCAAAGAAAGAAGGTAATGAAAGTTGAGGATTCGAGAATGATGGATTTGTTTTTATCTGTTTGTGGTGTATTTTTGTTTTTTGAATCTACATTGTTTGATGTGGTTTGTTTTCTCTTTGTTTTCTCTTTTTTCTTTTTCCGCTGTGTTCTTTTCTGTAATTCTAAAAAATTTTCAATAAATATCATTTTTTTAAAAAAAATTATGCGTGGGCTGTTGGGCTGCTGAATGGGGGGGGAAATAGTGGTGTACAGTGGACGCTCACGCTCGGGTTGCGAACGTGATCCGTGCGGGATGCACGTTCGCAACCTGCAGTGTTTGCAACCCGCAGCGGCACATCTGCGCACGTGCGGGTTGCGATTTGGCACTTCTGCGCATGCACAAAGCACGATTTAGTGCTTCTGCGCATGCGCACCTTCCGAAACCTGGAAGTAACCCATTCCAGTACTTCCGGGTTTCGGCGGTCCGTAACCCAAAAAAACGCAACCTGAAGCATCTGTAACCCAAGGTATGACTGTAATTGACTTCTGCCAAGCACACAGAGCACGAACAAGACTGAGTATATGGGGGGGGCTCGTTTAATTTCACTGCACACAGGTGGTGTAGTGACAATAGAGGTTTTGTTTTGTTTTGTTTTGTTTTGTTTTGTTTTGTTTTATTTTATTTTATTTTATTTTATTTTATTTTATTTTACTTTATTTTATTTTACTTTACTTTACTTTACTTTACTTTACTTTACTTTATTTATTTGTCCCAGGTTCAGTCCTCAGCATCTCCAGGTAGGACATTTTCAGCCGTGTGCTTAGACTTCATAGAATCGTGGAATCACAGAACCGTAGAGTTGGAAGGGACCCAAGGGTCATCTAGTCCAACCCCCCCCCTGCATTGTAGGAATCGCAGCTAAAGCATCCATGACGGATAACCATCCAACCTCTGCTTAAAAACCTCCAAGGAAGGTGACTTCTTCACGCATTACACTGAACACAGATATTAGCTGTCTCTACACACGTACAGTTGTTGGTGTGAAAGGGTCTACCACTGAGGGACGTAACTCAATAGCAGAGCATCTGCCTCGGATGGAGAAGATCCCAGATTCCACCCCCAGCTTCTCCATGTGGGGCTGAGCACACCCCTTCTTTCTGAAACACTGGAGAACTTCTGCCAATTGGTGCAGACGCTACTAAGATAGATGGGACAATGGTTTGACTGGGCATAAGACAACTTCCTGTGTGCCTATGTTCCCTCTGGAATGTGGTGTGGATTGGGGCCAGAGGAAGAGGTGAGTGGGCAGCATCAAGAGTCATGAGGAGCGTGGGATGTAACATCACAGAAAGCAGTCAAATACATTTCTTGTTTGCCCAGAGTGGACACACAGGGGGATGTTACTCCAGCCAGGAGGACTTCCTGTGACACCTGGTCTGGAGCTTCCTCCCCTGTGTGTCACCAGGTAGATGGGCATGACTCTGGGGTGTGACCATGAAAGGGCTGGTCACACAGCCATCTTCCCTTCTCTCTTGACCCTTCTTCTTCACTTTATCCCATCTTGATGCTTTTGCTGTCTGCTGGCTCTCAGCCAGCAGCACATGGGCTCAATCCCCATATGGGATGAACCATAGCTGTCAACTGTCCCTTATTTGGCAGGAAACTCCCTTGTCCCAGCACCGTTTTCCACTGCTGTCCCTTATTGGTGATGTCCCTTAAATTTCCCGGGTTTCAAAGGAAGCAGCTCCTCTCCCTTTCTGCCTGCCGACCAGGGAAGAGGGAGGCTCCAACTGTGTTCCTTGGCTGCATTGCTCACCCAATAAGGAGTCTCAGAATGACTGGGGGTGGAGCTTGAATGCCTTGTGCCCGGCCTCGTTGCCTGGGGACTCGCCTTTGCTCAGCGCTTCCCAGCGGAGAGGTGACGGTGGTTTTCCTTGCTGCATCCCCTTTGCTGGGTTGCTGCGGTGTGGGAACCACTTCTTGAGGCTTCGTTTGGCTGCAGGCTGGGCTTTCTGCCTTTGGCTCGGAGGGGCTCAGAAGTTGAACATACCTGTGCTCGGAATCGGATGGATATGTCATTGACGGCCCACTCACCCTTGCCGGGGAAAAGGTCTCTTTGAAGCGGGGACACATCGTGGGGGGAAAGGAAAGGAGCTAGTTGAGTACAATGGCAGGCGGCGATCTCATGGGAGGGTGGGTCTTTTGGATTTGTTTTGGAGGCTCCTTTGATTGACTATTATGGGGGGAAGGAAAGGAGCTGGTTGACTAAAATCCCTTATTTTGGTTGCTGATCCCTTATTTTCGAGGCTGCTGGTCTCTTATTTTCAAATCTGTAAGTTGACAGCTATGGATGAACCCACACTCTCTTATGTAACTACGAACGACATATTCAGGATCATACTGTGAACTGAACGTAAGTAAACTTCTCATTGCTTGTAAGAGAAGACTGTTGTGTCTTTATTCATTTTAAGAGAGAACAAAGGGGATTTACCAGGAACAAATCCAATCTGGACAAGCCAGGCTGGATTGCTTAACTCAAGAGATTCAAACGAATCTACCAACTAGCTTCCTGCAATATACAGGGGAATGTACTCTGCTACTGACTCAGCAGCGTGAGTGAGGAAGGATAATATTTAATCAATATATCCTCTCCTGATATCCACAACATTCCCACAAGGAGGCAGCGGCAGTATCCTCAGAGGGAGATCCTCTGAGAGCAGCATGCTTAATCGCCCCCCAAATAAAAAGAAATGGATATCATACCTTCCAACATTTCTGAGATGAAAATAGGGACAGTCTATTCTACATCAGGAAGCTTCTTCCACGTTGGATCTCCCACACATCTACATTGGTCACCTTGAGTCAACTGCAACCTCTCAGCCTCCCCAACCTCACGGGGGGTGGGGAGTGGAATTAGAACACTTGGAGGGTCTGTGATATGACACCGAAAGTTAATATTTCTCCAGCAAAGTGTGTTCTCCATAACAGAGAGCACGTGTTGCGGTGGGGGCCTGAAGGCCACCCCACTGTTGTTGGGCAAATTGGCCACATGCTGTGATTGGGCAAGGAGTGTTGCTGGGGAGAATGTCATGTTGCTAAATGGTGGGAGGGATCAGAGGTCTTAAATACAGGGCTCGCAGCCTGGGGCCTTCTCTTGGGCTGCGTGCACCGGATCACCTGCCCACCCTCCCTGGAAAGGGGGGGTTCGTTGTCCTCTGACCTTGCTATGCCTGTCATGGGGTCATCTGCCTTGGGGCAGGGGCCTGGTAGGAATTTTGTCCATTTGGCTGATTGGCTGTTGCCATTTGGTTTTTGCCTACTGTGTAGCAGATCATCACAACTTGTAAGGTTGCAGTTAGGCATTGGTTAAAATTGGTTGGTGGAGGGGTAAGTGCCTACCCCTCCAATGATGGTGCTGCATAGGGAATTCCGTTAAAAGAATCCAGGGGCTTGCCATCCCTTTCATCCTAGTCCCTGGCATTGGACTTGGGCTGTGCAAGCCCCAGGGGGCATGAGGGTGAGAGATGAGGGACTGATGCCCAGCTTCATTTCTCCCCAATATGGTTCTCCCTGACTGGCTTCTGCTGGAATCTGGAAGTCAGTTCTGTCCCTGGGGCAAGGACAGATAGTCGTAACCAATGACTAAGCAACCACTCACGTGTGTGTATTTAAATAAAGTTGTGGCCAAATTCATGCCAAAAACCTTAAAGAAAAATTGTTATTGGGGTGGCCTGGGGGACCTCGATGCGCAAAAGGGGAGGTGGGGTGTGTTTCAATATGACTGTGGAGGACCTAATTTTAAACTCGCTTCTTTCTGTTCTCCCCCACTACATCCCAGCGCACAAGAGGCCTGCAAGCGTACTGCCTTTGTTCCTGGGGATTTTCCTTTGTGCGCTCCTGTTTTTGGCTTTAAGTCTCTACTACGGCAGCGTGAGGCGAGATTTCAAAGTCTTGGAAGAGTTTCACAGCCAGCTTGTTATCGTCGTCCTTCAGATCAGGCACGTTGCTGTGAAATGTTGGGCCTGGTTTATGAGGCTGTAGAAAGCCTCACACATGGAACCATGCAGGGCTGGGGACAATGGTTCGCTTCCTCTGGGATACCATCCGAATGTGTCTGAGAGAGAAAAAGAGCCTCTTTATTTAAGAAAAAAAAATTAAACGGAAAATGAAGCAGCTGTCTTCTTGCAAAATTACGACGCTACCCACGGTGGGCATTTTTCCTTTCTTATCGCCGTCATTTGGGTTCCGCATTTCTTTTCATAATGCCATTATCGTCTCCTAGCAATCTCAATTGCAATTAGAGGCCCATTGTGTAAGAGCCTTGAAGCATTGAGAATATTCTTTATTTCCAACCTGGGGATGTGTGGGAGCTGCAAACAGGATTTCAAAGTATTGCCAATCAAACGTTTTAAAATAATAATAATAATAAACCCATGAGCTAGACCATACAAAAGACTAGTCTTCAAAAATGACTTATTTTTAAATGATAAATGGTGGGTGTTGCTTACAGAGGAAAGTGTGGACAGACAGGGTGCATAACCTTATCAAAACTTGCTTCCTTTGAAATTCCCCAGCAGTTTCTTCGGGGAGGAGCCTTTGAATTCAACTCAAATTTTGGCTCGGATGAAACTGAGAGTAGCTGTGCATATTTTACTCTCCCCCACTGGAACCAATGGGGTGTAAAAGTGTTTTGCTGGAGCTGAGTCAAGCCTCTTTGCGTCTGATGTATATTTTGAGGTGAGGGTTAAGCAATGTGGGTATTTGTGAGTGGTATGTATAAATATCACATTTTATCCATTGCACGGTTTGAAGCCTATTCTATATATGCCAGCTTATGGATAGCTGCTGCTAGCTTTCAAAAGATAGTTGACCAAGTGTCTAACCACACAATTAAAAATTACAGGAATGTTGCCGTCTCCACTATCATTGGTTCATGGTTTAATAAAATATTGTATATACTAATACAAATTGGTTATAAAAAGGTGTTTTTTTAAGACATTGATGCCATTTTCAGCTTACTGGAATCACACCAAGACTCTTTAAAAAATGAGCACAATGCAAAAAAAATGCCTTCTGCATTGCAAAATTATGATTAAGAATGAATAAATGCTGGTAACAGTTACTAAATTGGCTTGTCACATATTGTGGTCCTGTCTGCACTATACATTTAAAGTCCCTGCCTCTGAAAGGTCTACAAAGAACTATATAAAAGATTAGTTTAACAATGTCAACAAAAGCAAATGTTTAAACAAGGCTGGCATGCAATCTTAGCAAAACATAAATAAAATCAGCAACTAAAAAAAAACTATACACAATAATATTGTGTATGAACAATGGCATGGATAGGCTTGCTGGGGGGGGTGTTTTTAGCAGATGTTGAAAACAATGCAGTGAAGACACCTGCCTGAAATCAATGGACACGGAGTTCCAAAGAGTAGGTACTGCTGGTGGTATGGGACTGGTGGGACTGGTGCAATGGAAGGCGAAGAGGCCAAGAGTAGCTGGGGCCAAACAATTCTAGGTTTGTCCCTATTCGCTGCCTCCCTGCTTAGTTATACAAGGGCAAAACAGACTGAGAAGGAGGAAGCTGACAGCCAGCATCACACACACACCCCAGATTAGCTATAAGAAGGGAGGTGTCAGGGACAGGAATGGTGGAAACTGCCTCCCCATCCTGACCCTTCCAGGGGGGAGGAGGAAGACAGTCTAGATTTACAACAGGGGTTTAAGGGAGGTCACAGCTCAGAGGCAGATGAAGGGTAAAGTTGGGAAACCATGGGAGAGCCAGAGCAACAGGTGGCCGACACATTGTCAGTAGAAAGCATTCCAAACCCTCCATCTCCCAGAACCCGGCGAGCCTTAAAAGTAGGAGAGCAAAGAGCTCAAAGACAGAGGGTCCTTAGCAGCACCCATAGAGGAGATGATGACAACGAAGAATGAGGGATGGGAGAGATTGGAGGGGAGAAGAGATTCACTCAAGACAATGCCCTTATCCAAGATGCTGGGTTCTATAGCCTCTCTGTGTAAAGTTTGAAATAAAAAAGGACTGTAAGAAACTTTCCCTTCTCTTTATACTTTCCTGGGCAACCAGCCAGGAGTCGCTGACATCATCCCGACAGGAGGCAGGTATGGGTTGGCAGAGGGCAGAACGAAGCTGGTGGGCCACTGCCCTATTTGTCCTAATCGACCAGCCTCTGCTGAAAAGTCAGGATAGAAACTTTCTAAGATTATGCATGGCATTGAGAAAGTGGATAGTTAAAACTGTGGAACTCACATCCACAGGAGTCTTCCAAAGCAACTACTCTATTCTGAACTTAAAAATAGAAAGCGTAATACTGGTGATCAACAAAAGAGGTTTAAAGACTGTCTCAAGGCAATTTTTTAAAAATGTAGTATAAACACCAACAATTGGGAAACACTTGCCTGTGAGCGCTCCAGTTGGAGAACAGCCTTATCAAAGGTGTCATGGGCTTTGAAGACACTCGAACTCTGGATGCAAGGAAGAAACTTGCTAAGAGGAAGGCACGCTTGGCAAATCCACACTGTGATCAACTCCTGCCTGGAAACCAATGTCCTCACTGTGGAAGGACGTGTGGATCCAGAATTGACCTCCACAGTCACTTATGGACTCATTGTTAAAACCGTGTTTATGGAAGACAATCTTACTCAGCTACGAGTGATTGCCAAAGAAGAAGAATGGATTGGCTGAGAGCAGGATGAGGCCGGTGGGCCACTGCCCTATTTGCCCTAATGGACCAGCCTCTGCTGAAAAGTCAGGTTAGAAACTTTCTAAGATTATGTGTGGCATTGAGAAAGTGGATAGTTAAAACTGTGGAACTCACAGCCACAGGAGTCGGTGATGAGAGCTTTAAAAGAGATTTTGGCAAATTCATGGAGGACAAGGCTATTGATGACCACTAGCCACAATGGCAACGCTTTGGCTCCACAGTCAGCGGCAGGAATTAAACCACAGGATGGGAGAGAATTTGAATCCAGCTTGCTGGTTTCCCACCAGTATCTGCATTGCAGGGTGTTGGACCAGATGATCCCTTCCAACTGTACAGTCTTATAACTCTATTATCTGGTTGGCCACTATGAGAACAGGAAGGAAGGAAGGAAGGAATCTTTATTTGCGTCAGCCATCGGCCATAGCAATAAAACAACAATACGATATACAAAGAATACAAATAAAAAGTCAATTATATAAAATACATTTTAGGGTTTTGAATCAGTAGTCAAATAGTGGATCTTATTCTGATTGCCCCAGCTCATCTTGATCTGCCAAAAGGATGGACACTGTGGCAGTGGTTGGGCGACCCGGAACGGACAATAAAAGAGGGGTGATAATCTCATTCCTCAAGCCTTTATAAAGAGGGCAAGCCAGAAGGGCATGCGCCACCAATTAGATACTGCCATCTCCACAGGGGCATAAGTGTTTTTTGTGTGGAATCTGTTGGAATCGCCCCTTGAGTACAGCCGAGGGCAATACATTCAATCTTGCAAGAGTAAAAGCACGTCTATGTTTTAGAATTGCTAGGTTATGCAGATAGGGTGCCAGAGAGCCAAAATGGGAAGGTGGAAAATAGTTGTACCGTGGGCAAAATTTCCTTATTGTGGCCAAGTTGTTCTGATGCTCAATATCATTTAGGCACTGACAAATTAAGACTGTTTGCTTTACTAAAACCCAATGTGAGTAGCTGTTGTGGTGATAAACTGCAAGAGTGAAGTTTTTGATAGACAATTTTAGTCCAGGCGCTCTTGTGACAATCTTGCAGCACTAGGGATATTAGATGGGGGGGGGGGGATTTGCATTTAGGCGAAGCCAATAGTTAAGTGTCCTACACCAGATCCATAAGTCTACCAAGGAAAGATTAGCTTCTAGGCACAATGATGCGTTTGGGTCACAGGGTGGTACAGAGAAAATTTGCCTTAAGAACTTTGATTGGACAGCTTCCGTAGATCCAAAGTGAGCCCCATATAATAACTGTGCTAGGGGTTTAGCTTGGAGCACTTCCAGGACTAATGGTATATGTTTACCACCTTTTGTGTGGAAAAAGCATGTCAGAATTTTGGCGCTTTGGGACACTTTTTCTTTTGCACATGCTGGACTGAGGGCCATTGGTCTGATGCAACAGACTCCACTTACGTCCTTATGGTTGCTACCACACCGAAGGGTTGATTCATTGCAAGTGCAGAAGGAACATTACATGGCAGATGAAAAAGTGTTGAACAGGCATTGACTGAAGAAAGAAACTAATTTGCAGGTTACCATTTTTGTTTTCAGATGGAAACATCCCCCACAAAAAATAAAATAAAATATGGAGAGCATTAAAAGGAATTATTCTGACCATATTTATAACACCTGCCTCGGAGGATGGCATTAATGGATGATGCATTGCTGGGAACCTTTTAAAATACACACTGACCCACTTGTACAAGTGCATTAAAGGTCGACGTAGGCAATGTTCTTCCCGGTGTGGATTCTGCACCATAATTGAGACCACCTGCCTGCACCGATTACGTGAACCATATTTGACTTCTCTTCGTATTCAGGCATTATCCCCGCTGCGACAAAACAGTTCTTGTTTACATAGCAAAAAATGAAAAATATATACATGAAAAGGAGTTTATTTTAGCTGCCATTTAATACATGTCAGCAGCTGGAAAATGAAAATGGGGAGCAGCCCTCCCAGCTTCTATAGAACTGTACAAGAAAAAATCTGAAAAATGAGGTTAGACACACAAGAAAAGGTTTTATTTTCATTTTTTTAAAAAAGAATTATATCCTTGTTAGATTCCTAGATCTGCACAATACTTGCCAGCAAGACTCATATAGCCTATAAGTGAGGCACACTATTCAGTTCTCAACCATCAGTTGCTTCATACATCTTGTGCTAAAAAATCTAATTATTCTGATTGTGTTTAAATAAAACACCAAAACGCATTAAATTTTCAGACAATTTATTTTTATATGGCACCAGATCAGAAGCCCAATACGCTCTCCAGAAGGGGTGGTGGGCAAACAACTGATATAAAACAATAATTTCCCATTTTAGGCAACCCTGTCCCCACCAAAAACAATGGAAACTCAATCGTTGGTTCAAACAAGGAGAATGGGCCTTGCAATCTCAGATTTGCTTGATGTATACAAAGTATTACAGCAGAAGGTCATCAATGGGGGTTTGGGGTACATCTTTTTTAAAAAAAACCTACTCCCTATTCAGTTTTGTATAAAACAAGCAGCACTTTGCATTTCCAAGCTCAATGTTTTCCCTGCACTTTGCATGCAATCCATGCCCAACTATACATCAAAAAAAGACAATGCAGATTGTGAGTGCAAATACTCAGATAGCATCGTGATAACAAGCTCTGAAATGAGCGCAACCTATTCCAGTCCCAATTTCTTAACTATTTTGAATTTGACAGTTATGCATCGTGCAATAGTAAATGTGTTCAGAAGGTCAGGTTCTAAATCTTAGGTCATAAAAGTTGGTGGATGTGATACATACACACAACTGCGTTTTGAGCCCCTCTCCCAGAAGGTGACTTACGAGATCTTTCTTAAAACCACTTGTGGACCACCTGACATTATGCCTTGTTTGGTGCTTTGCTCCTGAATCCAGAAAAAGTTCAAGTTTGGGCTAGGGAATGCACACACACACACACACACACACACACACACA